TTTTTTTTTTTTTTTTTTTTTTTTTAACTATCTGCCGGTGGACAATCTTGTGTTGTGAATGCGAAAATGGTTCAGGTCTTAATTTTAAGACTTCATTTCCCTTTGCTTGCTTGAGTAGTGGCAAGATTGAGGTTTTAAACTAAAAACGGCTCTTGTAACTGTCCCTAAGAATATTGAAAGTGGTTTCAAATTTTTTTTTTTTTCTGGCAGGTATTCTGGTTGGCTTGCTGGTGCCCAGATTTCATTTGACACTGCCAACAGTAAGCTTGTGAAAAATACTTTTGCTGCAGGATACAAGAAAGACGATTTCCAGATACATACCACTGTGTAAGTATATATGTGAGCAGATGATAATCCTGAATTGACATCCACATACACACCCAATGCAGCCAGTGGGATGGACAGGGAAATGGATTGTTGTAAACTTTAAATAGATGTTTTTAATGTCATGTTTTGTAATAATTGAACATATTCTGAGTTACGAAATATTTTCTGTACATGTAAACTTGAGGCATAGACATCTACATTAAATCTTGGATGTTGCAACTCTTATAGGACTGATGCCAGTGAGTTTGGAGGGTCTCTCTACCAGAAGATAAGTAAAGATTTGGAGACTGCTGTATCTTTGAACTGGTCTTCAGGCACCAATACCACAAGGTTAAATTTGGGTGCAGCATATACTCTTGATAATGGGGCTAAAGTCAGGGTAAGTTTTTTTTTTTTTTTAAACTTTATATAAGAATGAAGACACCGTTTACTGCTATTAAAATGGTGCATGTTTTTCTGTTCAGTGCTTGCATACATCAAACCTTGCTGTCTTAGTAGTTCAAATTGTGCTGTAGATGGTTTTGAGCAGTCTAGGTCAAAGAATGAGTATACATGGTCACAAATAATGGCAAGTTATTAAAAGTACACAAGAAAAATGACAATGTATATCTGTTTCAATTTTCCACAGGCCAAAGTGAACAATTTGAGTCAAATTGGCATGGCATATTCTCAAGAACTGAGGGATGGTAAGTTGCGTTTAGCTATTTTCCTACGTGGAAGTTGGTTTCAATTGTGAGTCTGTGAACATTTCACCTTAGTCGATTGTTGAACTCGTTTGAGAGACAACAGTAATCATTTCAATAAGTTTGCGAGGAGAGGATTCTTAATGTAACAAGTAGCTGGTCTGATGTCATTGCATGAAGTGTTTGTCATGCACCATAAGATTGTGATATTTCTTTTGGGTGTGAACTTGAACTTTATGATATTTATTTCAGGTGTGACCTTGAACTTGTCCTCCATGATTGATGCCAAGAATTTCAATTCTGGTGGACACAAAGTAGGCCTGGGCCTGGAATTTGAAGTGTAGTTCAACTTAGGCAAAGAAAGTAGTTATAGTGCCACAACTCGCCACCGGCAACATCAGAACTAACAAAAACAGTGCATGCCTTAAAAAGAGAAATGTGTGTACATATCTGAAAAGCATTAATTATAAATGGATGTATGATATAATTTGCTTGTTACTTACGATCATTACCACTTACATAGCTTCACGGAGAAGTTGAAAGGTTGGTGACTGGTTTAAATGAAAATGTGAACTAAAAACGCTATCAGAAATCACAAAAAAACAAACCTATTATAAAAATTTACGATAAATCTGTATTTGTCCGTTTGTGTACTTAGATAGTGGTTGTAATGTAGCTAATTTTGCCAGATCTGTTGCGTTTTAATAATACTATTCCAACAGCACGGTCATAGACATTTCTTCTGAAGAAGCACAGCACTGCAATGCTTTTTATAAAACTTGAGGAAGGTTGGAGAAGAGTAGTCGGCCAATTTCCCGTTTGCATGAAAGGAGATGATGCTGTGACATATTGTGAATAAAACTGTAAACATGTTAAAACCAAATTTGTTTAATGTCTTTTAGGTTTTAACATACGTTGGAGATGGAAGGGTTGCTGAGATTTGTAGCAAAAACCCAAAGGATGTGATTTATAGTGGGTGCACGTTCATGACAATCTTTGCCACGGGGGAAAACGTTTGACGCCACCGTATGCCTTTGATTTATAGTTAAACTGCTGATGTGGATAACAGAAAAGAAAATTCTACGTAATAGATAAACCCCCGAGTCGGCGAGAGTTATGTGGCATGCACGAGTGCGTAGCACGAGTGGATGTCACATAACCCTCGCTGACGAGGGGTCCATCTTATTTAGACCACGGTCCATTAGCGGGTTCTAACGCATTCACGTGAGACGTGCGGTTATGCGAGTTACACCACGTCTGAGTCTTTTGTTCTTCGCTTCCACCGTGGTCTAATTTCGTTTGACCATTAATGGTCGTCTGTGCACGCTTGCTACTAGCAGTGGAGCATTTAGAACGCGCTGGCCTGCCTATTAAAGTGAAGCTCTCGGTGTCAAACCTTCACTGTCTGTGCGGATACTTAATCATCATAACCACCGTATTGGTCTTGTTTAAAAAATGAATTGAGTTAAAATTGTATCTATAAAGATCAACTAAACATAATTTAGTATAAATGCCCGAGCTTTCAAGCACGTGACTGTCGGAATGTTCGTCGGGGTTGCGCCGCTTTCGGTGTACACTAAACTGGAATTCGTTCAGTACTTGTGCTATATTTTATGCGCACATTTGGTACGAAGAAAAGTATGTTACGAAGGTACTCTATTCACATTTTAGATAAATTGTGTGTAAAAGAGACAAAATGATAACATTATCAATATACTCGGCGTTCTTCCGTCCTGGGAGTTCAACCCCCTTGATCTCCGTGCGCCATTTATGCGTCCTATATATCATGGGTGCCATATCGTACTCCAGGTTGCTTCGAAACTTCGCAATGTTTGGTGAATGGAAAGAACAATTTAAAAAATGTTACCAGAGATTTTCAAATGAGTTCTAACATTAGTGTGTGTGATATTTTGCATATATTTCTGCACTGCTGACATTGTAATTAAAATTAATACACCCTTATTGTTACTATCATTGTTTCACATAAAATTAATTTTGGGCGTTGTCTGCTAATATGTAGATCAGAATGTTTTTTTTTTAAGTAATTGCACTTTCGGTGGTGTATTGCTTCTATTTTTAGATTTAGCATTTCGTTTGTCAAAACAATTGTTTTCTGAAATGTTCCTGGATCTTGTTTTCATACTAAGATCTACCAAGATTCGTAAAGAGATAATGTGTTCTCGACCTTAATCAAACAAGGTAGCGCAACCGTTTTTCGTTGATGATTTCAGCTTACAAAAATCTATTTCAAGCCAAAGTATGAGGATCGATAACGATCAATCGGGGGTCATTTCACATATCAGTCACTGGAATGCACACCAAAAGCGGGACATCAATAGTTAAGCACCTGTGACATATTTTATTAACACATATGGTCAAGGAACCCAAGACATGCTACTCTATCCGTGTGACTTTTTGACTTACCATATGAGCAAAAGACTATATGTCAAGACTCGCCTACCACTCGGGGTACTCCGTTGGGAATGACCCTGACACAAAGTTAGTATTCTTGGCGTTCGACTAGGACTTCTTACATTTAATTTTCTTTTTTTCCTTTTTTCTTTAACATAACCACTTTGAATTTAGTGAAAAGGATATAGTCTTGAAAACCTCTCCAAAATAAATATTAACATTAAAAGAATTAAGCCTGAATAAAAAAAGATGTTGCACAACTTATGGTTCTCTCGTGTTAACTCCATTTGAATAAAGTTACATTTTCTGCTAAGCTGTAGTTTACGCTTAATCTGTTGGTGCTGGAAAAAAGCACTGCTGCACCAGCCGCGACTTTTGCACAGAGTTCTCCATGGAACGTCCAAGCCCATTGTCGCGCTGCGTAGATTCTGCCTTGGTGGTGGGCTCCAAACGGCTCTTTCGTCCGGTGAAACTTCCCCTATAACAAACAGAAATAAATACAAAAATCACAATTAAAAGTAAACACTATTCACGACAGCTTTAACTTCGAAACTCTTAGCTGTCTATCAATATTTTTCCTCGTAGCTACATGTATCTACTTCCTTGGTATCCATGTAGCTCTACAATCAATAAACGTCAATAAACAGTGTCACCAATTTGAGTTTCAGAATTTCACAGCCCTCCTTTCTCCCTCCTGTTTTTATTTAAATGAAAGACTACAGATTATTTGCGATTATTTCACGACACGTATTTTACGACGCAAGGCGAATTTTAAGTACCAATACGAATAGAGGTCGGGGTTGATATGTCATGTTTTAAAAATTTGAACTATTTAAAAATATCGTCATAGACACATATGAGGAGGATTAAAAAGCCTTTGCGAGAGATAGCAATATTTGCGTGGAAAACGCGTTTGGATATAGAAAGTTTAGTCAATGGAACTGGTTTTGCAAAGACTTTCAAAATTTGGTGCCCTTACCTTCAATATCGGGATAAATATTTATATTTACCTCTTAAAATTACATCATCTCTTACATGTGATTTTAGATATCAGAAGTTACTCATCATATATGAACGTAGTTGCAGGTGGCCAGCAATCTTTTATCTTGAGATTAGCCAGAAGGTCTCTTCAAAATAATTGTGTATCATCGTAAGAATGTGACACAGGGCACTTAACCTTTTTAAGAGTTTGACGGTATTTGCACTAAATTGAATGAATCATCAGCGCGTGATCGTTACGACAGATATATCCCTATTTTTAAAGATACTGGGTCATTTTATAGAACTTTGCAAAACCCTTACTAAGTATTTGTTTGATTCCAGTGTAGGTGTTTTAAAAGCTAAATCCTGATGGATATTTCGGCAGTATTTGTAAACTAGATTGTAAGACAACGCCGGTGTAACGAAACTGAGGGTCAGTGTAACAGAAAGTCCCCCATCCATATAGTTATAATGGTTAGGGTTAATCTGACCCAAGTGGGTCAAAATCTCAAAATCTAGGGAGAGGCTCACCTGTACAAATGAATGGGAAGCGGACTCTCGGTTATGGGGGACTCTCTGTCGCGTCACACCGGCATTAAAAACGGAAAATTCAAGCTCAATTGTCATCAAACAAACCTGCTAGTAAAACTTACTTTCAAATGAACTATAAAAGTTATTCCAAGGCACAATTAGGCGTTTCCAAGTTGTCGAAGAAGGATAAGTCTGCCGTCGATATGTTGGGAATCCATTTAGTGGTGGACCCCATGCCATATTTTCATATTCTCTGGCAAGTCCAGCCTCTGAAATTTTAAAAGTCATGTCGTAATCTTATTGTTAGTGTATTTCAGTCTAAAACAGGCTTATTAATTAATTAGCTCAACTGGATCTTTGCACTATAAATATAAACCAGGAAGGATGTTGGTTACTAATCTATACTCTTCATGATAAATACTGTCCCCTCTTTTTTATCTATTCATTTAATCATTCATTTATTTATTTATCATGATTGTTTTAATACAACATCTTTGAAATCTTTTACGTTTTGAGTAGATAAGCAGTTGTTGCTCTTTTTTCTAGATTGTTAATAGTCATTGCGACCCCCATATAGGCCTATCCATTTCCAATAATGACTAAAATCTGAAATGAATATTTCGACCTGAACCCATCACACTGTAATTTTAGTAGAAGATGTTGAAATTTTTCAAAATGATTCAACAAAACAGGCCATTCTATATGCTATGTGCCACAGGTGAAAGCACGAACATGCCATTCGTGTCTTAAGTGATAGGTGACCATCCACTATTTGTGTCACCACAAAACAGACGTGCTGACCGCGTAACTTCAGTTAGCCAGCGAGCTATATACGTATTTGTTAAGTGCGAAGGTAAAGCTTTCTGAATATAGACGCGCGTCTTGGAAACTGTTCCGTGGTGTTAAAGGGTTATCTTGGAATACTGTCAATGCGTGCTTCTCTCCGTTAAGATCTATTACTTGTCATACATAAAGGTTTTTGGTAGAAATGTGACTTTTTATCAGTTGAAGTAGTTACTAAATGCAGAATTCTAAAAGAACGAGTGTATGAAGGTTTTAAAAGAAAATAATTTTTTCATTATATTATAAGCATTGTCATTAGCAAAAAAATTTGCTAGAATTATATAATTTTTTAACATATCATTTTCGGAGCTTGCGAATCTTAAACTCGAGCTGTCCCTGATAGAACAAGTAGTTGTGACTTCCAAAAGCACTTTCAGTTTTGACAAACCTTACGGTTGACCAACTATTCAAACATTTTGAACAGATTATAAGCTAAATAAGGACTCTCTATCGCTTTGTAAACTGTGATAACAGTAGAATATAATAATAATAATAATAATAGATACCAAAGATATAAATAGTTTATGTACCTGGCATGAGAGCGTCTCCCCTATCTCGTAGTACGTATGCGTTCAGAAGCTGCAAAATCAAGGCTAAGAAAAAACTGACGTATAAAGAGACTTGCATTATGTTCAACCGGTCCTCCTTCCTCTCGGCAAAAATGTCGTCGTGATGTCTTTTCTTTGTTCCAGTGGTTTTTAAAGACAGTGGTGTCCATTAATACTTAAACACACCCACCATATTCTGGTATTTCCCTATACACTGCACTTAGTTGTCAAAGATGCTGCAATATGTGATTGGTTGTGACGTTTCCCTCGTTTGGTTTGGATATGATGGTGCCCTCCAATGAAGATTGCGCTCTTAGGTTGAAAGCGTAAGATGTAACTGCTGCTTATTGATGAAAGGGTACTGGGTATGTCTAGCCTATATCTTTTCGTGTGTTTTCAGTTTGTTTTTTGCTTGTGTGTAGTGCAAACGCCAAGGTCGAGCGAAAAATGCTAGGATCAAGCACTTTTTCGGAGTTTTATTCCCCGTTGAAAAAGAAGTTTGCCTGAAAAGAAGATATCTAGAACCATGAATGTGTGAGAAAGTATGCCACCTACATTTTTATGCTTGTTGATTCGAATAATTGCCTTATCACCTTAAATTGTTGATTTTCCTGAATATCGGCCAGTAGTAATTTAAAGTGATTATCTGATTATCTGATATAGCCTGCCGTGCGAGTTGTTTTAGTACATTTTTTATCGTGCGCGAAGCAAGGAAGTTGATGTACTTGTGCAATACAATACACAAGGACTGAACCAAAGGAATGAGGTTCTCTTGATCCTATGCAATTATACAGTTGTTTCCCCCTTTTTTAAATAATTAATGTGATGTGGGTGCTGCATATCTAAAGACATTGAATATCTGAAAAAAAGGTAGAGAACATTGAGAAATGCTGGAATTCAAGATAAGAAACACACAAATCACAATTGTTCTAATAAGCATGTTTTCCAACAACCCCGTCAAGATTCAGCTGCACGAACTAATCCGGAATCAAGAGGATTGTTAACAGCAGGTTTAAGTGCCTCTGGTCATGAAATGAATTCAATATCAAAAGTTATTGAAGAGTGAAGTTATTGGACAGACATAAGACATATATGACATGACTGTGAGTAAAAATATTACAAAAAGATTATTAGATATAGACTCGGACACAGCAATTTTGAGTGAAATTATTGCTTTCTCTAAACAGATCTTATGCAATTTAGTCAATATTGACCAAAACAAGTATTCTAGAGAAGCGCTTAATATTGCAAATTTTGAAATAGTTTTAGTGGCTTTTTTATTATCTTTTAACGTTTCCGTGTTAATTTAATTCAGGGAAAGTACAACTTTTTCAATTATGGTATATTTGATAAAAGTGAGCCGATGCACGTGTTTATAATGTATATTTTAAAGAAATTAAAACACATGAAAGGGCGAACACACACACACACACACACACACACACACACACACATATATATATATTTTTTTTTATTGTTCCACCGATTTTCACCAAAGCATTTCAATGAAGTCTGCTGTGGGTGGTACAAGTTGGTTGTTAGATATAAATTGTAGATGTTCCAGTCACGATAGTATTATAAATAAGACATATCTTGAACTACCATGTCAAGTCATTTGTCTAAAAACAGTCTCAACAAATTATCCACACGACACTTTTTTTCTTCTTCTGACTAACTTTCCGTTATATAAAATAAAAATAAACAGCTGGCAAATTGATCAGGGACAGCACATGAAGTAGCAAAATATGACAACTACATGTTGATTATTGTTGGTTATTGGAAAATTCTTGTTAAATTGATTTTCAGTCATATGGCATGGAAAAGGTGTTGCACGCAAGGGTTATTTTCTCTCAAATGCCATCATACAATAGAAAATGCATTATCAAATGTCACTTGCAATGTGTATTGTTTTCTCTCAAATACCATCGAACATAAGAAAATGCGTGAACTAATGTCAGTCACATTCTTTATACCCTGTACTTTTTGCAAATATTACATTGAGCGTAAGCCAACAATTCTTATAATCTTTTCATATTTCATAATAAAATTACTTAATTTTAGTTAGACAACAATACAAATAGAACAGATGCTCTGTTAAAACACACACGCACCCGCGCACTCTCACACGAACATTTTCAAAATTTTATTTATCTTTGGTTTTAAAGAATCGACATTCTTCATAAACGTTCCTCAACCCCTCCCCCCCCCCCCTCACCAATATGGACAGCGAGTAGAAGGATAAGTAAAGACCAAAGATATGTAATGTGGTTACTTTATAAGCTCTTTAACGATCAAAACTAGTCCATAGTTCGATTTTTTCCTCTTTTACGTCTGGTGGTGAACTGTTGTTATGTCGTTTTGAAACCGCAAGTTGAGTGAAAACTCAAGGCATCTTATACATGTTTTTTTTAATTTTGCTTTTTATGTAAAAATACAAATTACAATTAGATTATTTTGTTACAACAACATTGAAATCCAGTCATATTTAAATTTAAAAAAAACAATCTTGCCTTGGCAGATATGAAATTGGCCTAGACCAAATTGAAATCCAAGTCACTGGCAATTTTCAATTATAGATAGATAAATCACGTCCATAACTAAAGTCATTTTAGTTGTTCAATCCATGTCTTAGAGTATCTTTTATTCACTATTTTGTATTTTGGTAAATTACAAAACTTTTTTCTTTTCTTTTAACCCCCCCCCCCCCCCCCCTCCAATAATGACGGCGAGGTGAAGGAGAAGTAAGGACCCGAATTATGTATGGTGATCGAAATTAGGCCATAGTTCGATTTGTCCATTTAAGGTTAACTGTGGTTTTTTCATTTTGAAACTGCTAATGGAGTGAAAATTATTGCCAGGAAATTCAAGGGATCTTAAACATGTTTTTTTTTCTTTCTTTTTTCTTTCTTCTCTGGTTTTTTGTGAAAAATACAAATTCCAATTGTTATAATTTTTTCACAACAGTATACAGAAAGGAGAAAAATAGATGATATAAACATGACAATCTTTTAGTCAATAATAATATAAAATTAATGATCAAAATATTAAAGCGTCAGAGAGTGGAATTTGACGCGAGAAAATACACTGGAAGATTTTTACTGGGGTCTTCACTGTTCAGTTCTAAAATTGACAGCATTCTACCATGTTTTAGCTCAAAGTTTCCCGTTAAACATTTCCTTTACTCCACTTTGTTTTATCTTGATGCATGAGAGAACGAGAGGACTGTTGCTCCATTTTCATTCATTACTATTCTTCGTATAAATATGATTTGTATTGAGGAATCTAATATAAGATACTTGTATAAGTAACAGCTATTAAACCATTAAACAAGGAGAAATTCCGACATTTAAAAATTCCCTGTATGTTTTTTTAATGAATTGTTTTGAAAGTCACTCGTATTTGCATTATTTTTATGAATTTGGTAATTTTCTGAAGATAATTTTAATCCTCCGGTCACAGAGGTCATTTAAATCCACTTTTTACTTTCATTTACGGTGTATTCCCCAAAAGCAAGTCTGTTCAAAACCATAGAACATAAGGATATGTCTCAGGCCAGATTGAAATCTAATTTTAAATCCGCCAAGGCGAGATTGAAATCGCAATCTTGCCTAGGCAGATTTAAAATTGGCCTAGGGGAGATTGATATCAAACTCACAGACAATTAAAAATTATAAATAGATCAATTGCACTTTTAATTAAGCCGTTTTATTTGTATGTACAACCCATTTTTAAGAACATCTTTAACCAACTATTTGCATATGGGGTATTTCAAAACATTAATTAAATTTTTTGTCGCACATAGGGATTCTTTTGACTGCATGGCAGTCCTGTTAGCACTTTGACTAAGGGGGTAATGGTGGCTGTAATTTGCTCTCATAAACGTCAATTCTATCTGTATTCTCGTTTACAGTCAAATGTATTTCATCATTTACTCACTTATGATGAAAATATAAGCATATATGTGGACTATGATACACCGAAAGAAACAGGATCACAACTTTTAATGAATTAGTCAAGATGTCGTTTACTAAAAGTTTATGTCAATTAAAACACCACTTTCTTATGCGATATTTCGAAGTAAATATGTGAACTTGCAGTTTATTTACCAAATCACTAGGTCAAAATTGTACATGTTAAGCAAAATTATTTTCACGATTTGTACAGGAATGCATTTACTTGCTGTTGATCTGGGAGGCATGGGTTGGCATTATATTATTAAATCGAGTTTTAATCATAATTAATATACTTATATATATCATATTTTTATTACAGATTTTTACTACAGACAATGAAAAATTAGTACACAGCTTAGATCAATGCAACGATTATCCAAATCATCATAGTACAAAAATTCTCCGGGTCTAATTTTGCATTATTTTCAGATGCTTACACAGTTGATTGACATTCGGGCTCAGAAAAAAATAATTTTGATGTCGTTGTAACTATCGCAGGCGAACTCAGAACCTCTTCTTGAGTTGACGAATCTTGCTGCGTTGACTCCGATCCCGATCTGGTAATTTGCCGTCGCCGGAACGGGGCTTTTCGTAGCTTCATTGAACGCGGTCTGCCGTTGGGCCTCCCGTTGGGCCTCCCGTTGACACGGTGCGGAATATCAAACGGCCTCTTCGACCGCCATACATTGATAAGGCGGCGCAAAGCCGAAGAAGAATTTGTCGAAGATGATGAAGTCATGTCACCTGAACGAAATGACGATTGCCATGACTGCGAAGTTAAAGTGGAGCGCGTGCTTGACCTTAAGAAAACGTTGCGGCGACCTTTTGACGGACGAAGTCCTGGTCCAGTGATAGTTCTGTACAGTACTTTTGGAGGTCTGTGGTGAGCCCTTCTGTATCGAGACCTCCGAAAACATGCTGCAAACATTAATTTGACTTGATGGCGAAATGCTTCTCCTGTTGCCACGTAAATGAAAAAGTTAATACAATAATTGATCTCAGTAACAAGTTCAATTGGTGGGTAGTATGTTTTCAAGCTAGCAAAAATACACGGTGAATGTGGATCTTTGGGGTCTAAACAGGACAAATATATGGTGACTATGGTCGGCGGTAAGTGCGTTATAATAAATGCAAATGATATACCGACTAGCATTAAAGTCGTTTTGTGCTTTTTAGTGTAAATTCTCATCAAGTGCCTCGTTCCACCCTCTTGCAGAAGCAAATTTTCTACTCTTTTTATCTTATGCAAAATCATAATATTACAAATGGTTATGATTCCTATTGGTAAGCAGTTTTCTAAAACCAAAAGATACCAGTATGTGTGTAGGGTTTGGCTTAACTGAAGAAAGTTCTCCCCGTCTCCACAATACTCCTTGGGATCACCTGTATTTTGTACGAATATAAGACGGAAAACTTGGGTGTAACTCAGAATGACGATCAGTGATAACGTCACTGCCCATGTGACCAATCGTTGAGGACGGCAGCAGAGTAGGCGTTTAAATGGAAAGTACACAGCAACAAACCTCTCAATCGTTATACAAACTATCAACCACGACGACATCAGGAAGCAAAGGTGTTCGGTGAATTTATAAACTTTACAGCCGCCATCTGTAAAATGTTTGTACAAGCTTCCGTGTGCGCCAAATAAAACGAAACACATGGAGTCAATTCGCCTTAGAAACTTAAAAAACAGCGACAGGGAATCGAAAATTGCCAACGAACACAGATAAAAACTGTAGCTTCGTTTTCGTAGCTGCTTTGTACGCATTACCAAGAATGAAAGGGTATTCCCTATAAGTCCTACGATGAAAATGGCGGTGGTTCCGATTTCCTCCAGCCACCAACCCCAGTAGACGAAGTGTAGCAGCTGTAACTCTGGAAAGATAAAACATATTGCCTTTTCAATCGATTGCTGCGTCCTTATCAATCAGCTGTAGATGCGCTATCCGATATATATCTGTTATTACTTCCTTAGATTGCTATGCTATGGAACTAAATGGTCTTTACCAAAGACGTATAGGGTGTCGGTTTTCTTGTGTAGTTTTAAACACATCAACTGTCAAGTGTACGTGTGGCACTAATTAAAGGCAGGTCTATACTGAACGCGTTTGAAAATGTCACAAAGTCATATTTTTACGTCTTAACAATCTGCTAGGCTACATATCTTTCCAAATCCGACCTTTAAAAAAAAAGATAAAACCCCTCAAACAAAAGCACCTGATGTCGATATTTCCAACTGAAACATTTGGAAAACACGGTGGTCTAAATGTCTCGGGGGTCATTTAAAACCAAATTGTTAATCAAAATAGTACAAAACATCCAATGACATCCAATGACTTTTTTTTATTTTGACAGTATCTAAATCTGTGTCCCGGGCAGGACACCTTTAAAGGAGCCAATGTAAAAGAAAGAAAATCAAACTGAAAATGGTTTATTAGCTAACCCAACTCACTAGCAAGTATTTTGGTAGTGCTCCACACTATGGCATAAAGCACACTAGTTGTACTTCATAATAATAGAAAAGAGGGCGCTGCACAAAATGGTCTGTACTTTTAACCTTCGACTGACAGCATACCTACACTGTATGTTGAATTAGACACAAAACAGTCATAAATATCTTAAGTCAACTTTTCTTTGCATTTTTTTTTTTTTCAAAAAAAGAGATAGAGAGCCAAAGAATGAAGGGAAACTGTGTGTTTTAATTCTTTTTTTTTCGTTCAATTTTCTTTACGTAGCCTACACCAAACAGGCACATAAGAAAGCGCAAATGTATATTACAATAGATATCAGTTCGTGAAAGTGGAATCTACAACGGTCTTTTTTTCTTTTTGCTTTAACCAAGCTCTCAATCAAAGTAATGTCAGACGGGATTCGTCTATGACCCAAAATAAGGTTAACACAAACAAAACGGCCAGTAAGCTCCTCGAATTTCTCCTGTCGTACATTCTCACTTAAAAAACAACTTTGCTCTCTGATGATAAGATATTTCATCTATTGGCGTCTATCGACGGCATATCCATATGAACTCATCGTAAAATGATATACCTAATATAGCTCCCGAGATATTTCTGATTTACTGTTCTCTTAAAACGTCATGAAAACGTAAACTAGCTATGAAGACATGTGGCTAATGTATTTGCTTTATGATATAAATGTTTTCAAACACTTCCGAAGGCTAAGCAGTGTGTGCACTGGAGCAACGAGGAAGTTTGAGTGAGATGTGAATATAGAAACGAAAAAAAAAACAGAGTCTGAAAAAATACGAGACTATGCCAATTAATCACCTAGGGTTTAATATTTGAGAGTTTGCGTAATGGTGGATAACAGCCCAGCTTTGCCTTCTGATTAAACATTTATTTTATCACTGTTCCAAATGCCGTTATCCCATGGATAAATCTAAAACTTTAGTACAGATAAATAACTACATATCTGTTTCGTCAGTGACAATTTGGCAACAGGGATCATAAGAATCAATCATATTATACCATAGCAGTGTAAAGCTTTTAGAACCATATTGTCATTTTCTAAAAATAAAAGCATTAAAATAAAAATAAAATTATCAAAAATTATATATTACGAAAATACCTGTCCTATTTCCAGCACTCTCGTTGCCTACACCTGGCAAAACGCTCTGGTTGATGCTGAGTGGATCCATTTCACACCAACCGGACGCTGTAGCGGGATCCATGCCTAATTAGTCCTGGAAAAATGTAATAACAAAAATTTTAAGTGTCCGACTACGGGAGATAGTTTGCATTTGACACTGCAGCGAGTACCTAGTACAAAAAGTATAAAAGTCCTTACACCTGTAAAGCAAAGATTTTGTCCAAAGCTTTCAAATCATCAGTGATTCTTGTATAAAGTAGCCTTCGGTCACCGATAACAATTCAGCCAGATCTTTTACCTGTGCAATTTAAACCTATTTTTCGTGAGTGCTATTAGCTGTGTATTATCTCCTCCATCTTTTCTATTGTTTTATTCTTTTACAAATCTAGTCTACGGAACGCACTATTTTCATTATGGTAGCAGTCAAGATATTGTTGACAAAACACCCGGCAAATGCGTCAGAGAATTACCCTGAATCTAAATCTGTGTATAATGGAAAATCTCCTCTATGGAAAATGTATGAGCGTTGAAAAAGGTGACGGAACCTGTATGAAAGGTAGAGGGGTGTTACTCGGGGTGCGGTGAATATGACCCTAACGAATGACAGTAGTGATTTCACTTGCAGGTTTTACATTCAGTAATCTGCTGACTTTTTGGTTCGGTTGTTTACATTCTATATTTCGTCGAGAAGAAAATAAACAAAGCTTATCCGATTCTCAAACTGCTAATTTATGTTTGACAACCTAAGAAGGGATAGAAAGGTTGGGTCAGGCCTCAGTTTAACCATAATTGAATACGAATTGACTACTTTCGCTTCCTCGGTGTTTCTTGTGCATGCTTCGTTACCTTCAGCGTGTTTAAATGATTAACAGTAACCTAGTCCGACATTCTCGATTAAATTTCAGATTTAATTGCATTTACAAACCTTAGAAAAATTTTGGTAGACTTTTTTTCTTCCAGATATGCATTTGCCAAGACGTTTCTTATAAAGCATGTGCTGCCTTACGCTGTGGCATTCATGTCGCTGAACTGCTTCATACTTTCTCGATGGACAACATTTTTCATTAAAATCTAGTCTTGGATTTAGTTATCTAAATACGCTTCACAGTTCTCACCAAGGGAAACGTGGAAATTGTGAAAAACACGAGATCTTTAGAAGGATAATTAACGGAAGACTCACCTGAAAATCACCGAGGGAAGGAGTCTTGATAGGCAAATAATCGAAATAATGGCATGGCACTTTACCTGAAACCGAAGAGGTGAAAACAAGTTTGAACCACGTTCTAGTCATCAGACGCAGTTTGCGGCGGGAGGTCTGTAGTTGTACATCACGATAAACATGTCTCGGCACTTCGGTCAATTATGTCCTAAGGAATTCTGATCTTTTAAGATATCAGAACCAATTAATGCTTCGTATACCAAGCCAATTAAGCTGAAGTCTTTTTGCTACTTGGCAAAAACACAGTCGAACGCAGAAAATAAATATTTACTATTGAAGAAGATAGAGTTGTGTCAGAGAAACCGACCGTGCGAGTATTTTCATCAATTCTACTAGAACTGACACCGGCTTGTATATTTTAAAAGAAATGTGTTTAAACTTAGTAAGATTTCACCAGGTGTGACCCCCAATCCCTTTAGAATCTTGATTTTTTTCCAGTCTGTCACTTTACATTCTGTTACGGAACGGTGAACACTTATGAAATAATATTGAGACAGTAAAACCGGGTGACTTCATAGGTGAATGTATCGTAATACATTATAAAATCACATGTTGTACAAATACAATCTGCATATTCACGTGATAAGATATAAATTCCATTTTGACTTCTTATGCGTATGCAAGAGCCGGCTTTCGATAATCAAATGGTAATATCTATAACGAGCAGTTCTTTAAACAAAGACGCCATCTTAGCTTCGTTTTTTTCCCCCAACATTTCACCTTGTTGTAATCTGGGATCTATTACCCAGTGTTCATTTGGGTCTACTTTAAACAAAGCATTAATGCCAGTTATAGAAAATTATCAGCAAAAGAAGTTACCTTACGCACTAAAGCTCCGCTGCTCGGATTTAGAACCAGAAACTGGTTTGCGTGTGCTATCTGTCTGACACCGTCTTCCGCATGATTTCCTGGAGTATTCCTCACTCAACTCCCCATTGCCGTTCTCCTTTATCCTTGTTTGTCACGTGGACAATAGAACTTCAGGTCTCTAATCAAATCAGCGGATGTCTTAATTGTTTATTTGATTTAATATCCTATAGCTTGATAATCAGAGCACTTTATATTGCCAATGTTGCCGTTTGTTGGATCAAGCACGTTGCCAAAGGTCCGTGTGGCTCCTGAGTGCTGCAAATTCCTAGTTTCTATTTGCCGTTGTGTTTAAGAAACAATCCTAGAGAAGTGGAAATTAAGCAGAAGCGTGTTTCGTGAAGTTTAAAGAAGTAATATTGGATATCCGATCAAGTACTTTTGCAACAAGAAAGGACTGAATAGCATTTCTAAATGAAATCTCATTGTGCTACACTAAACATTGATATGCCACGAGGATATGTCTGTAAAAACACGCAAAAGATTACTGATCTTATCCATCCCAATGTCATTTATTGTCTTTTGGCATAGTCTAAATGACGCTCTTATCCCCAAGATTATCTAAGTCATTTTCTGGTCATGTAATTAAGCCTTATAGTGATATAAGAGATAACTTTTTCATGCACTCGATACCGGAGAAACTGGTTGATTCAGTTTGGAATGAACTGAGAGTCGTCAATGCCTGTTTAACTTTTAATGAAAAATCTATTTTCTTTTGATCTTTTCGACTTCGCTTAGTCACTCGTTCATTCTTTGTGGAAGGTAGCCTTTTGAACGATCAATCCTACGATGCAGGGATTTAAAACATGCAACAAAAATTAATAAAAAATAGAATACCAGTAGGTTTTTGGAAAGTCAAATTCGATATAAACACACAAAATATTGTTTGTTAAAGAAAACTCCATTGAGAAGGTTTGATATCCGCACGTCCTAACCAAGGTCGTCATCGCAGGGTTACTATTTGAGAAAAGCCAAGTGCCTCATACTATAAATACATCAGCAATTGGATCAATCTTACGGCACTTCCATCTTCAAGCAATGAATTTTGATGTTTTGATTGCTCTTCGTAACAGTTTATATGGCCTTCTTATAACGTCAGTTTCGGGAATAACTAGACTGCTTGTGCAGCTGTTTCAAGGAAACCTTAATGAAGCCTCGATTAAGAATTTTTGTAAATAACGTGCAACGGATATAGTTGTCTACTATCCGTGTCTAAATTAATTTCAGTCACCCGAACAAAATGAAAGAAATAGGAAGAGAGAACTGTGCACACTGTTTTCAAATGGAACATATTTGCAATGAAATTTTATTTATGTACCTTCGTTGTCCATGGTTTCAGAAAAGCATATGGAGTTTTATACAACTATAGGCCTACTTACAAACCAATACTACAAGTGTGTAAACTAATTACATTTGAAAACGAAAACCATATTCCCATAGTTGGATGGAATATAAACTATGTACTTCGTTTATCTAAAAGCTGACAGAGAGTCCAATATAAAAAGTAGCAAATGAAATATTTACAATTATTTACAACGAATGTGGGTATAGAAGTTGCATATATCTATCCGATATCCACTGATAATCGGTCCGTTTGAAGTCTCCTCTTCTCGTTCTTTAAGCTTTTTTCTTTTTATTGCATTTTTGTTAATTGTACTCAAAGTTTCTATAAAGCCTCTTGGATTAATTTGATGAGATATAAGTATCTACGTGACCAGAACGACCACTGTAAGTCATTTGATAAACATCGTCATGAAAAACGTTTTCTGCGTGCAATCTGGCGATCCTTTGTCACGATACAAAAACAGAGAGAACCTTAACTCATACTTGGCACTGGAGCATGATGTTATAATTTCTTGTGTATCAAAATCACCAATATGATTGAAAACAATAAAACAACACTATTCAGTGACAGTCTGCTGGAGCCGTTACAGCCGTTCCGGTCGTTACAGTAACAGATTTCTTGAAATATGCCGTTATCATGGTACGACCATCGACATCCCGAAGCAACACCTGGAAAAAATTCATAAATTGAAGTTATTTTCATTCAAATATTGCACGATGGTTGAACAGGAGATATAAAGCAATCGATAAAATTACAAATGTATTGGGTGGTTGGTTTTCTTTTCTTTTTTTTTTTTTTGGTTTTTTTTTTTTTTTTTGCGGATCTATTAGTATAGGATGAATTCTAACGTTTTCAATAAGTTAGCAAGCTTAAACTTACCAACTTCAGATCTAGATCCACATCTTCGCGTAATCTTTGTCCAGGAGTGCCCTGAAATAAACACCGAATTGCTACAGTCACACCTAGCACAATGCGATAAATGCAACGATCCATTTCCAGTCAACAAACACACCGGGTTGTTAGCTTTTGTGGCAGCACATATCATTTTGAGTAAATGAAAAAAATAGTGAAATAGAGGTACTTGCTTTTTTTTTAAGTGGATTAAGGAAATAAATACAATAAATAAACACTTTCTTAAAGCTATATTTAGCAAAAAAAAAAAAAAAAAAAAGAAGCTCGGTCTATCCACATCTTGAAATCATACACTTACACCCTGGGCTTTCTTGTACAACTTTCATACAAAAAGACCCCGGCACATTAGCTTCAAAACTTCCACAGTCCACTAAAGCGTTGATGGTTGGGTCGAAGTACTGGTCAGACGGACAAGAGCCATCTTCATTGCTATCACACTGGTAACATTGGATTGCCTCACCTGGAAAATAGCAATTTTTACAGTCTTATTTAATACCTGTTTGTCAATTTATATAAAATTTTTTCAATTCGTGTTCATTTATCAGGATATACTTTGTATTATGTTGTTAAAGCAATCGAAGTGGTTTCAATGACACGTTTAAATTTTGCCTGATAGGCTCATATTTAAATCGGTTTCTCAGTGTTTTATTTCCCCTGGCATACAGGCACGTGTTAAAACAGTCCTTGGACATAATTCGTTATTATGTCCAAGAACAGTCATTGCACACGAGGGAAATTAAAAGTATCCAGCGACCAAGTACAGATTTTCTATTACAAGTAGAATGGCACACAAGTTAGTTCAACTGCCTGCCTGTGACCCTCAAAGTGTCCTTGTGCGTACACGAAAGAGGTACAAAATCCTTTCATATATCACTAGTGAAGATATAAGACAAATACCTGTACAGACTAAAATATGTTCACATGTACTGTGCCCAACATACATACTAGTATAAGCTTTTTAAAAATAGTTTTAATGGTAATTTAAGAGACATGTAGGCCCCTACAGTGCCAATCTGACCAGCACAGGTGTCGCCGTAGTTTCACTCAGAGTTATACTAGTTAGATTAAGTCTACTGTGTTTGATCAAAGGTAGAAATCAAATATGAAATACTCACCCAGTCCAAGAATGGCTAATAATATAGAAACTTGGAGTAAAATGTCCATTTTGAAGCCAGGGGGTTGTTATATCAATTATACTTGCCCCCCGATTCAGCCGTTGTAGGGCAGTAATGGCGGCTCAGGTGTATGAAATGTAAAGAATGTCTACCTGAGAGGGGTGACGAGTTGACACCCTAGAAGCAAAAACCCTCTTAAAGGACAGTTTCTCTACAATGTTTTGAATTTAAATTGAGCATATAATAAAAATTCTGTAGTGAATTCTTTTTCATTTAGTTTTTCGAAGAAATTGAAATGTTTTTCTGTGTCAACCTATCACCTTTCACCCCTTTGGTGACACACGTTGGTGGTATGACTCACCTGTTGTAAACATCAAGTCATGGCCGGTTCAAATGACAAATGCGCATGTGCGAGTTGGGGTTCTGAAGGGTTATCTTTGCTCACATTGTTGCATGTACATGGAGGATATGTTGATTAATATTTGGACATGAGCAAAGCAAAAATGCAAGAATAAAGCTGATTAACTGGAAGGAAAGCACTGACAAATTTAAACTGATGGCAGTGCGATTCTATTTGGCTGTCATTTGTCGAGAGTGTTATTTTTTCCCCTAAAAATTGCAATTCACGATTTCCTAAAACGCAAGCTATGACAAACTAAAATCCGTTAAGCTAAATATATTCATCTCACGTGCTTAACGGGACATATTTTAATATTTATCGGCGCATTTCAATTTTTATAAAACGTTCATAATTCAAAATGGAAAAAGATGCGAGTAATAGATTAAATTTATTGCTTACAGCACAAAAATCCTTACGTACATTTTATGCAGAGCTTATAAGTCATCATATAAACCAGATTACGCAAATTATAATGACCAAAATGAGAAGAATCGTTATTAAACAGATAATTATCATCGAATAACTCAATAAAACATTAGTAATAAATAATATTTAGTAAAATACTGTTACATGAATAGCTAATTAAAAGTTAATATGAGTTGAACATCTTCAGAGACCTCTCAAAATTCCGGGCACATATTTTTGAATGACATACAAAACTGGAAAAGTTAAATAAGAAATATATGTCCTTGTGGCAGCATTACATCCGTCCTTGTTAACACAGTGGCAGTATTTGACTTTAATTCTGTACGTCCCAGTACGCTCCTGACACCAGCGCCCCTCGTCGGCTCCGACCTCGCCCAACCTGGCACAGGATCGGATGTAACGGACGTCCCATTTACCTTGGTAATATGCTGCAAAGTTCAAACATGCGTTATTAAAAATAGATAGAAAAATGGATGGAACATTTAAATTCTTGTTGACGTTGGTCATATGTTGTTTAGATAAGTTTATATCACCATATGAATGTAAATGAAGAGTGGTTAGTTATTAGCGTGATGGATTAATCGATTAATTTTTTGCAATTATTGCGCAGAATGGCGGGTCGACGAAATTTCCCGTAATAGACTCGATATATAGGCCTAATTCAGTAAACAATCGTCGGAATATTTAGGATTATTCTTCATTTGCATTCACACAACTACTGACATGCATTTGTAGGCTTAGTCTGGTTAACACTTGTTCTATATACGCATTAAAGACAATTGCACTTTGGGTTATTAAAGAGACTAGGAACTGGACAGTGGCATCGTGAACAAACTAATCATGATCACTTACTCTCTTGTACCAATTTTCGGCACATAAACTGATCTGGTTCACATGTATGCAGCTCGTAGGTTTGGTTGCTGAAAAAGTCAGCGCACCCCGGATCGTTGTTGGAATTGCATTTGTAACACCGTATACTCAAAACTGAAAGTTGATGATACAAACTTAAATTTTATTACGCTGCTGTATCTAAATATCACTATATTTCAATATGTAATTAAAAACAAAACCCCGACGGTTCATCTTTCTGTAAAAGATGTCAACCCTCTCTTGCTCTTTCATTTTGTTTCGTATGTATACGTATACGTAATATTTACAGAATTTATTCATTCATGGAGATAATGCTTATTTACTGGCTCCAGTGATGTACTAAATTTCTGTAGATCCTTCCGTAATTTGAACCTCTCATACCAAACTATGAGATTTCGGACTTGACAAAAAGATTCGAGTCTAAATATCCTCTTCACGTACCAGTACCACATCTTACATAATTGTTATTAAACTAAACAATAATTCTTGGCAAGTATAGGCCAGTAATGGAGTTTAAGCACGACCTGTCTTTCTCCCCTGTCGTAAGATGAGTTAACATGACATTCCTTCATGATATGCCTTCACAATGGGGCACGTGAACATTAAGCTGTTCTGGTGAAATTAAGTCGCACTTTGCTTGTCATTATGGCACCTGCATCTATCTATGCTATATCGTTTAGATAGTCACTTATTTCATAGCCACATTTTTGTTTCAGTCATGTATATCTGATATCATAGTTACCTGCGTATATGTTTAAACAAAGCACAAGCACAACTCCAACGATCACCTGAGTTCCCATTCGGTTTGGCGTGTGGGGTGTCAAGGCCACAGAACGCTACTGGGGTCCCGATGACACACTTCTGTCTCAGTGATAAGATATTGCCCGGTAACTTATCATGGTGCAGTCTGAAGATTAAGCTTAAGAAGAAATGTATCTTTCGTGGTATATTTCTACATTGCTGAACTTCAGAGAAAAGATCTTTCGTGGTATTTTTCTACATTGCTGAACTTCAGAGAAAAGATTGAATTTTTGTTATTATGTCACCCATGTAAAAAAAATATCTTGGACCGATCACACATGTATCAGGTAGTGTAAGGTGGGGTCTAAGGAAAAACAAACAAAAAGCGGCCCATCCTAGCACAGACAGTTCGAATTTTAAATCGTGACAAAATGGTGGTATAGTTGAGGCGATGAATGTTTTTATTTCTAATATAGTAGGCTACTTTTTTTGTATCAAAATTGAGAGCATTTTGTATATGGTTTGAAAACATTAAAATGAAATGCGTTAAGCAACTGTGCTAAATGATTAATCGCATCATGGACTGACCAAGTGCCAAGCTGAAAAAAATTGAATCCACCCAGAAAAGAGTTTTAAAATACTGCATCTAAACACCGAGGCATTAGAAAAACAAACTGTTTCTTTACAAACCAGACTTAACTATTTACGCATAAAATGTTATAAGCATGTTTATGGAAGAGCATTGACTGAAGCATTTATTAATAAAAGTTAAAAACCATCCGCATTCTCTGAGACACTCTAGGAACTTGTATACCCCAAGACTTTTACCCCATGGGTCCTCAGAAATTTTAATGTACAATGTAATGCATTTTAAAGAAGCCGATTGATGTGATATTTTGATAAATGATCCTTTTATGTGAATGAACTATTTTCAAAAAACTGATTTATTTAATATTGTATTATAAATTGAATTCTTTTATGGTAAAGAACTATTTAAAAGATTTAATATCATAATCAATGATGTTTTCTTTTACGTTTTAATGTCATGTGTTTTTGAACCTGTATCATTATTTTCTTAATTACATGTAAAATCTCAATTTTAGTTGCAAAATTCATTATTATTATTATTATTATTATTATTATTATTATTATTATTATTATTATTATTATTATAATTATATGTCCTCGAGGGAATTATTTAGAAAGAGCGTTCAGAACTCGTTTCATGATGTACTTCGCTCCTTACACCAGGCGATAAAATCGGATACTTTTGTCTAACAGTCTTTAAATTTGAATGTGCAAGAATAGAAAATGTAGTAGAAGGACCGGAACCATGATTCAAAATTCAAAAGGAGTCTACACTCCAATTCAGATTTTAATAATGATCGAGAAGCCCGCTCATATGTATTTCGAGTAAAAAAATGAAACAAACGCACACGGAAAGTTGTTTTTTTTTATTGCTATTCAGCTCGGTTTTACAATTTAATTAGAGGTAAGAAGAAACACAAATGAATTCTTTATCCATATTATTAGGTTATTTTACAAAAATCCATGTTATCGTCAATTTTGCACAAAGCAGAAATGCTTCATTACGTTTCAAAACTAATATGTATAAAAAGCTGATCTATGGTAGGAATACAATTAAAATTCCTTTGAATGAAAAATTATTATATTAACTTTTGTAATCAAACATTTAGGATACGTACCCACTTTTAGTTTTTTCACTTAGGGAGTGACATCTATCACAGGTAATATTTTCCAAGGATGGACTATAGCCACCCCGTTTTTATGAGTAAGTAAGCAACTACACAGCTGTTAACGTAACCTTCTAACTATCAGCTTCATTTTTTAATGTTACCTTTATTATTTTACATTAGAAAAATTCACTAAAAACTAAGGCATACTTCCGCTTGCGGTTTTATGTATCTTACAACGCTCGAAAGTTTGTTGCTAAAAAAAATCTAGAACGTCAAAATGATTTTTAAAAAGGCTTATCAGCCACGTAAGCACTTTATGGATGTCTCTTACGATGACCTTTTCCAAGCAATATCCAATTTTGATTTATATTTACATGTACCCTTGCAAAACGTCACAAATCTTTCACAAAACAAACGTTCTTGAGACGGTGTGAGATATAGACCGTATATGAATCCTATATATACAAATATTGTCTTCGAAGGTCAAGATCTTAACTCCTCATAGGTATATTATACAAATGTACGTGGAAGAGTTGCAGGAGAGATCTGTGATTTATAAAGTCCCTGAAATCTTACATTATCAACAAACATTACAATATATAAGAAAACATGAAATAAAGAATGGGTTATGTTTTTGTTTTTTTTTTTCGTAATCTACACGCCTCAAATGCCACGCGGAAAAATGCAGTGGTGTTATACACCTGTATGTTATAATCCTGAACAAACAAAGCAAGCGTAGAAAAAAATAGTCAGACATTATTTGCTCCAAACCTTTCACTATCAGAAACAAAAATCAATTATCCTTACTTCAAAACATTCGAAAATGTACACGGCCTATATGAGCTTTTAGAGCACCACTATCCTTTTCCAAATATACTGTATACAAAACTATACATACAAAAAATTTGTTCAACAGGTTAGCTATGTTACAGTTATCAAAATTTTCAGGAGGAAAATAAAGTCCGCTGTAGGTATCCTAACGTAATGAAGGCCAAAGGTAGAAGTGCAGAGGAAGAGAGCCGTCTCGTGGTAGCGGTGTTGCATCCATCCTTGTTGACGCAGTGGCAGTACTTCACTTTCACCCTGTATGTCCCACTTCTCTCTTTACACCAGCGGCCTTCGTCAGCCCCGACCTCACCTTCCCTGGCACAGGACCGAATGTAGCGGACGTCCCAGTGACCATCGTAATATGCTGCAAAATGAAAATATAGAAACTTCCAAAATATTTAGCGCTCGGAAATTATATAATTTATTGATTATCAAACAGTACGAATCTAACACAAATTAGCAGTGACGGACAAATACATTACTTTACTGTGGATAACAGTTTACTAACATTTTTCAACTCTTACTATTTCGTCGCCATAGTACATTTTACTTAAATATTTTGTTAGTTAATTACAGGTTTATTTTCATAACCCGACTGTATAAACGAAAAAACAACCAGGTTTTTATCATTAATTTATTCGGAAAGCCCCACCTTAGTGCTATGGCGGTAACATTTTACTACTCGAGTAAACACAATTTAAAAAAAAAAACAGCGACTTACTTTCTTGTACCATTTTTCTGCACATAGTATCGGTCACGTTACAGGGTTGAATGGGGTACGTGCTATTGTCGAAGAAATCGGCACATCCTGCATCGTAGAGGGAATTGCATATGAAACACCGAATGCCCAAGGCTGAAAAAGAAAAACGAAATCATTTTGATTTCATAATCTGATCGAATGCAAAGAACAGTAAAACAATCATCTTTGCAGGGTAGAGCCGTAACAAACGTACACTGTATGTACTGCCTAACCATTAGATAAGTCTACACAGCGACCTGCGAATGTAGAAAGGGACAGTTAAGACGAATGTAAAACAGCAGAATTGTTAGCTGAATATAGCAGTTGGAGTTTTATTTGTTTTATTACAACATCCTACCTAATCCCATGCCCTGAATAGATATTGCACATCATGTAATGATTATACTTCCTGATAAACCTAAGCTAGCAAAGACACAGTTGTCACAGAATAACGGATTAATGCAATTATGGAATATCCGTGCTCGTTACACCATGTTGTTTATACTGCACATATAGGAGCTAAAGAACACAACAAAAAAAATCTATGCACCTAACAAGGTTGAAAAATTCATTTTCATTTTGACATGCCCCAAAAAGTAACTCGTGAGAAACCATAAACTAGAATTAAATAAATTATTTGTAATGCCACACGAATAGTTTTTATAGTTTTTAGATTTAGTATTTAATACAGATAACTATTTTATATAACTGATGATTTAACTTGTATCAACTTATGAACAGTATCTAAATCTCTAATGGTACAATTAACTTCGAATATATGCCGTGTGTCGTAGTGTAGAATAATCGGGTGTTCAGAATTCATTAATCAAGTTGTTGCAGGGTCAGAAATATGTGAATGGCTCTTTTAAAGGGTATAAGTAAAAAGAATTAATAAAGAATAAAGCACAATTTGAATTTTAAGGCCAAGATCTACTCCCTGTTACATGAGAATTCAAGAATGTCTCTGGTCGCCATATTTGACCTATATCTTACCTGTGCACACCTGAGTACAGGTGTGTCGAAATTCAGTATTTTGGACGTTAAACCACTCAACCGATCTTAACAGAAGAAGAATTTTTTTACCTACCTCCTTGCAAAGATAATAGTACTATGAATACGAACACTGAAACAACTATGACAGACTTCATCGCGCTGCCGTTACTCCAAGGCAGGCATCGATATTTAAATAAAAGTAATGGCGGAATGGCGGCGAAATACCTTGGGGCCCACGACGGGGAGTCTCAAACCGCACGCGTAGACTAAGTGACAGGGGAAACGACAGGTGTATTAAATCAAGACATAAAGGGGGTTTTGATAAAGAAAAAATTAAACAATCTAGTAGGTTCTTTGGTTGGTTAGTATGAATTTGACAATTAGTCAATTGATTATTTCCTAAAACATCAAGGCGAAAATTTTGACAGTGTGTGTGTGTGTGTGTGTGTGTGTGTGTGTGTGTGTGTGTGTGNCATGGAATATAGAGAATCTTTAATCATGAATATCTTTCGATATACATGTATTTAGAAAAATGGAAAAGAAGCTAGTTAATTTTAAGCAACCGAATATATCGTATAGATTTTTAAAATTACCCGCTCTTGTCGCAAAGTATGGAATATTTTGAAAACTTCAAAAGTATTAATTTTTATTCACCCCTTTTTTCTCATAATATGTCCGACTTAAACATTGACAATTAAAACTTCAATTAAGGGAAGTGCAGAAAAGAGTAGTTTTAATTGCCTGGTTACAGTTCCTTACCCCGTGTGACACATCTGAGATTCAACGCTTCTGTCACTGACCAGTGCAGTTTGAATTCTGTCCAGCAAATAAAATCCATTCTATCCATTTTAGTAAAAGTGCATTATGACAATCCTTCGAGAATTTGTGGAATGTTTCTTTCCAAGTCAATGAAAATAAAAACCAATTTGTACAATATAAAAAAAATAATATCACCAGAAACGTCTCTTGAATAAACTTTTATGATGTTAAACATTACATTTGTTATCGTTTTTCTTAAAACGTTATCAATTCCGTAGACACTAGTAAACTAACATCCCTGCTCCCATTTGCAGAAATATACAGACCAGAGTTTTCAGTAAATACCTGTAATAGACCCCATAAATCAACACATAAAAACGAATGCCGCTCTGGCCATCAAATTGCCCATTACCATGAAATAAAACATTATTGATCTGAATAAGTTTGTGACATTGTAGCATTTTGAATAAATGAAAAAGGTGGAATGGACTTTGGATATCATTGCAAAGAAAATAAGCAGATCAAAATCCGTTCCAGTGGAGTATTTTGTGTCAAATATTTGCCACGGTCTTACAACTAAACTAAAAATAAATGCCGTTTATACCAAATTTTGGCCAATGCAGTTTTTTGGGGGGCCACTTGAAAATGGCAGATAACTGTGTGCATTTGTTCTGAAATAAAAAAAGCAAGTTGCAAGTTATTGGACTTCGCTTCCAAATACTGTGCACCTATTAGATACACATATAGCCAAGGTTCTTTTGTGCAATAAGATAGGTCCCTTGAAGGATATCAAAACACTCCTGAAAGTAGCAAAAATTTGGAAACACACACACACACACTAAGGGGACAAGGAATCAACTCAACATGCAAAATCTGCTATTTGCATTGTTTTTAATATCTGATCTTAGCAACATTTTATGGTTTATCTTGGACCCATGTATAGGGGGTTCAAGAATTAACGTGTTTCTGGATAACAAATAACCAGAGTAATGCAAATTACCTGGTTACAATTTCCCCCTTGTGACACTTCTGACGGTCAGTGTTTCTGTCACTGGCCCGTGAAGTTTGAACTCTGTCCTGCAAAAATCCATTCTTTTTAGTGGGCCTAAATGTGCATAATGATCATCTTCCAAGAACTTGTGGAATATTTCCATCCAAGTTAACGACAATAAAAATCGATTTGTACTTGACAACAACGTTTCTTGAATAACCTTATATGGTGCCAAACATTACACTTGCTTTTGTACCTTTCTTTAAAAAACGTTATCGATCCGTAGACATTACACTACCCAGTACAGCCCCGCTCACCTGAGTTCTGAGTGCAAACTTCTATGAATATGAATTTGCATCGCCTTTTAAGGTCTTCCATCCTATATATAGACTGTCCTGCAACCATTCACATCCATGCTTACTTTATTTTCTTTGTCTGATTTAAATTTGAACGATGCTCAAAATTAAACAAAAGTGCATTCATGCCAGGGACCTTTGAGGATCAACAGTTGATTGGTTGGATTTCTTAGAAAAGGCAATAGCGAAACCGAGGTGGGGTATAAAATACGGTACATAGGACTTTAACTGCGTATTAAAAGAGGAGGCGTGTAGTTCAACATCTGAATAATAATCCGTTGAACCAAGCAAGAAAACGAGGATTCAGGTAATTTATTGTTTTTGCATTCCTTTAAAGAAAAATCATCAGCCAGTGTATTTCAAGTATGGTGAAATTATTTCATTAACATTTATAAAGAAAGATCAGGACAGGAACTTTTGACATGTGTGGTTTAACGAAAGCTTTGTAAAAAAAAACGGTAGATTTTTTCATAAATGTTAAAAGCACGGAGGAAAAACTGAAAAAAACTCTCGGTTGCATTTTTCATATTTCTCACTCTATTCCCAATGTGATCTTTAGTTGTTAAAATCAATCAAAATTCATCACAGCAAATTGTTCAGGCTAGAGAAAATTACCATCTACATGAAGGTACAAATCCATGTATAAATCTGACTTTCTTCTTTTCGAGCCTCTTAACTGGTGACTTTTCTCGTGACGTTTAAATTTAAATAATTAAACTTCCAAACTGTAGAGAAGGTTTATAGATCGCTACTTTTTCAGCAGTTGTGGATGAGGTATAACAAGATATCAGGAGGAAATTGTTGAATGTTTTCAGAAAATTTAATGATATAAATGCACACTATGTGCTTTAATTGCTTTATTCTCCGTGGCAAGAAATTATTTACTAGATCCTACTCGTTGATATTTCTTTAGCATCTAAACCAGCTTAAAATTTTAGTTATGGAAAGCACGCACTTTCGGGTGTAAAACATACATTTAAAACGAAAACCATTCACTTCTTAGTTATGTTCCCTTTTAACAGTAAGTCAAAGTTAGGCAAAAAAAAAAAGAGTGTTTATTTGATATTGGTCAGCAAACCTCATTATTAACGGCAGCTGGAGTCACATCATCGGAAATTCCGTTTAATTTCTAAGTCGTGGTCACTAATCCGCATTTTTGCAATTGTCTTTATTTCTGATGGCGTGGCTTTCATTAAGAGATATTTTTCAGGGGCTTTAGTTTTTTAAAGCAATCTATATGTCCTAAGTTTACTATAGTAATCACTTTTCAGGTCTTTCCAAAATAGTTCCTCAGTCTTATTGTTGATAGTATCTCTCAATTTATGTCTTCTTGATATATGTAATTTAAAGTTAAAAAATTCAATGAATCTAATGAAGATGAAAAACTTGTAGAAGTTCAGAGTCTCACCTCAAATTAGAAAGGTGGTAAACTGACGATAAAGGCTTCGTGTTGCCTATGGGCCTATGCTTATATATTGCAACGAGAAATATAAACTCCGATATGCGATATATTTCAAGGGGATTTTTATTGTTTCAATCAGCACAAAGTTAGATGCATTACTGAATAATTAGATTCAGGAAAAACTTCAATTTCGGTATCTGGATGATAATAAAAAGCTACAATATCCTTAAGCTGAAAGCAGTTTAGCGAGAAATCCCTTGGAGATTGATCGATCCCGTTGGATCGATCCTGTTATATTGATCTGGGTATGAGAACCCAGTCTCATTCTCCGTAGCAAGAAAGTATTTACAAGATACTATTCGTTGATATTTCTTTAGCATCTTAACCAGCTTTAAGTTTTAGTTATAGAAAGCCCGCACTTTCAGGTGTAAAACGAACATTTAAAACGAATATCATTCACTTCTTTGTTATTTTTCCTTTTAACAGGAGGCAGAAGACAAAGTTAGCTACGCCTTTTATTGTTGTATTCAACGGGGAATAAAAGCTGTTTGAATAACATTACTCGTTGTTGGACAACAAACCTCATAATTAACGGCAGCTGGATTCACGTCATTGGAAATTCCACACCGAAAGTGAAAGTTGCTGCGTATTTTCCTAATGTTTTCTACGTCTTTTTCAAAATATCGATAAATACAACTTTCAAATGTACATCTAAAACAAATGTCATTCAATTCCTTTGGGCGTAAAATCAATGGACAAAATCTTCGTTATTATTTTAGTAAATGCCGGGAAGTAAAATAATAAGAATACTCTTTTTTTAATCATTGCACTCAGTGACAAAAAGGCCGCACTCAGAACAGTAGACTTACTAGTCCGAGGGTCAAATATGGCCCACCCACTTGAAAACTTCCCGACGGGGAAACTATATTTAATATCTATTAGTGGGTTAGACGGCAAGCTTCTTAGGGGGGGGGTCGTATATTTGACCCTCAGACTAGTTAGTCTACTATTCTGAAAGCAGCCAGTTTTCTAAATCTTAATAAAATTGGAATGCCATGAAAGGGGGCTGCACTGACTTGTGACAAATTAACCTTGACCTTGGAAGGAATTAAATTATTTTTAGAATCATGATGCATAAATTAGTACAGATAAAATAAGTTTTGTGCCTCTAATGCTTCATAATATTCGCTGAAAATACAACTGAACAAACAAGACTTTATTTGTATACAAGTTTATCAAGTTGCTGGCTAAACTACATAAGTAGTTAATTGGCAAATTGTTAATCTATAAAAGTAACACCTTTATATTATACATTGCGAAATCTGAAAATTCTCCAACAAACAAATATAAAAAATATAAGGCATATCTTTAAGGACCAAGTTAGATTTAAAAATACTGATTAAGATTTTTTCAAAGAATAATACCTTATGTATTGTTTGCTTTTTATAACTCTTTTGTGGGTATAAGTAAAAACCAATTTAAGCACTGTTAGACATGAAAAACAAAAATAAAGCAAAAATATAATTGTCCCATATGGATTATTTACCTAACATGTAATGGGCAACTCCAAATGAGCTAATGTTGTCTTATAACTGAAGCACATTGAAGAACAAAATTCACTTATATATATATATATATATATAAAGCCCTGAAATGCTGGAAAGTATTGCATGGAGCATTTACATTTTTACTCAGTGTGTGTGTGTGTGTGTGTGTGTGTAAAACGTACAGTGCCAATATTAACAATATGATATTAACTCAACTCAGTTAAATCAATTTATGTTGTATACATATTATGCCTTTCATTGGTTTAAAAACCCAGTCCTTACTCACTTTCACATAAGGGACCATTCCCACAGATATTTGAATCGATCTATCTCCCTGGGGGGTTTCAATAAATTGCTATCAACTTAACAGGCTTAAATGTCTGTCACACTCAGTAAAGCTATAAGGGGGTAATTGTCTTACCCTAGCTGATTCAGTAGGCGTGACAGACATTTAAGCTAGTCCAGTTGATAGCAATTTAGTGAGACTCCCAGGGAGTTAGACCGATCCAGACGGGTCAATCTAGGCATGGGAACCCAGTCTAAGTTAACTAAAAAAGCATTAATTAATTAAAAAAAAAAAAAACTTATCAAACCACCATTATAATCAAAATGCTAAAAGAAATCCCTTATTATCTATCATACCCTTCTAATCCAGACCCCTAATTTTATAAATCTAATGTAGTGACTTTACTTGCAGAAAAATGTCTGACAAGAAGGGATATCAGGGCACTGGAGACAAACCAGATCTTGATAACCATGGTAACCAATGTAACCCTAACAACCCGGAGTACCGAGGATATACCCCTGGATACTCTGGGAAGGGAGACAAGCCTGACCTTGATCACCATGGCCAACAGTTGAATCCCAACAACCCCAAGTATCAGCCTAAGAAGTAGAGGGCAATTCTGTACAATCATGGAACAGTAGTTTAGCATCTTGGATTAGATTTTTAACCATTCTTGATTTGTGTGAAAATCCCTAGAGAACATGTGATTTTTGAACGAAGAGACCATCTTTCAAATTCTGTTCTATAATCCTTGCAAATGAACGTAAAACAAGAAGGAATAAGACAGTCATGTTGACATCCTGGTGACCAGACCTTGTGTTATACAAACAACAGTATCACATACAACTGTTAATAAGGAAAAAATTCTATTCATCCTGACAATAAGTGACTCTTCAGAAGACATGCACTAGACATAATAACTGCAAGTTCTACTCTAAAGCAATATTTGCAAAATTTCCAATACTTTGTTGTAATTTTTCTAATATTTAAGTCAAATATTCCTAATATTCAAATAAAGATCACAGAGTATTTTACTGGTTTTTGTCTTCTTACACAGAAAACATTTACAAATATATATGAAAATATAAAACCAGGCATATTATTATATTAACAATTAAATTGCATTTTAAAAATGATCCAAAGCACTGATTCTACAGGTCTCAGTTAACATAAACCCTAGAAGCCAGTTAGTTTGATGAGTATTACAGTTTATAAAAATAAATCATAAATTTCACAATAAAAGTTAACAAGTTATAAAATCAACATTTCAAAGATACAGCTTTTGATAAACCAAATGTGCAAACACAGTAGGTCCCTGTCACATGATGACAGAGACAATTAGTTCAGTACCCTGAAGAAGTCTATGAGATAGACAAAACACCACAGCTCAACTGTAAGTTAGTATCAATATATGATTTAATTTTTCATTCTTTTATTTGTATTAAACTTGAACAGGAAGAACACGAATGTACACTTCTCTCCAGGTTTAGTCCCTAAGCTTAAGAGTGCACCACACTCCTCCTTTGGGTTTCAAAGTGGCTTCTTCCAGGATCTCCAATGGACTGCTTCGGTCTACTTCAAACTTGAAACGCTGGATAAACTTGGCCATAATTATCTTCATTTCCATCTGAAATAAAAATATGCATTTTCCATTAAAATCTCCTCTTCTCTATCCTTTATTATTACTCTTATCTGACTTAATATTTAAAATACTTCAATGCATATTTCATAAATTTATCAAAAACAAACATCTAAGCTTGTTCAAATTACTGATCTGGATAAGTTTGCTACAGCATTTTGGATAAATGAAAAAGTCGAGATGGACTTTGGATATCATTGGAAAGAAAATAAGCAGATCAAAATCAGATTTCAATGAAGTATTTTGTGTCATAAATTTGTCCCTTAAAACTAATCTAAAAATAAATGCTGTTTATACCTTGGCAAAATTTTGGCCAATGCAGTTTCTTGGGCCAATTGAAAATGGCAGATAACTGTATGCGTTTGGTCTGAAATAAACAGCAAGTTGCAAGTTACTGGCCTCTACTTCTGTTACTGCACACCTATTTATACATATAGCCAAGGTTCTTTGTGCAATAAAGATAGGTCCCTTGAAAGATATCAAACCACTTCTAAAAGTAATAAAAAAATTTGAAAAAATACACTAAGAGGACAAGGAACCAAATGAACACGTAAGTCTGCTATCAACATTGTTCTTAATATCTGATCTTAGCAATATTATTTGATTTATCATGGACCCATGTATAATGGGTTCAAAGACTAAAGTGCTTCTGGATAACAAATGGGGTATTGGACTTTGAAATTAGATCACTCACTTCATTGGAGAATCTGGATCAAATCTGTCAGGTATAAATTTATCTGCTTCTTGGTGAAATTGGGCCATCCTTCCACAACTATACACATGAACCTGAATGGTCAATTGGTTTAAGATGAAGGCTATTAAACGATTAAACAAAGTAAGACATACTCATACTTAATAATATTAGACAAGTAATATAATTAACGCTGTATTTTCTTCCTCCCTTTAAATAAAAATTAAAATAAAATGACATACATGCATGTTGACACACAGTACAAATTATTAAAAAAAATGCTAGATAAGTCAGTGAATTAAATACTGCATTTTAGACATCATTAACTTGTAAGAGTCTTCAACTGATATCTTGATGGTGAGATTTGAACTAAAAGTGAATAAAGACATATATAACAGAGGTCTTTCTTAGAGCACATTCAGAACAGCAGACTAACAGATCCACGGATCAAATATGGCCGACCCACTTGAATGCTTGTTGCATAATCCCTGCAGGGAATCTATTAAGTATCTAATAGTGAATTTTAAAAAGTGGCAAGCTTTTTAATGGGTTGCCATATTTGATCCACGGATCTGTTAGTCTGAGTGTGCTCTTACTAACGATGAAAAACATGACACATTCCTCACCTTCTGGTTTTAGGATTCATTTTTTTTTGTTGCATAACATACCCCAATTCCAGTTCCAGCTGGGAGTAAGTAGTCTCCAACCATCATGTCTTTGTTCAGTTGTCGTAATGTGAGGCCAGCCACAGGATAGAGTCTGAGGCTTTCTTTGAAGACATTCCCCATGTACTTAAGGTTTTTCAAATCTTCAAAGCTCACAGCTGCTTTTTGACCAACAGCAGACTCTACCTCTTCCTCCAGTCTGTAAAAATAAAAGCAAAGTGGCAGCATAAAAACTTGAACACAGCTTAACATTTATTTATTCTTTTTTTTTTTGTATATACCAGTTTATATAAAAATAATGATATGATTTTTATAACGCCCCCAAAAAGCGCAATCCCTATAATTAATTTATTTTCAGGTAAACCTTTCAATATACATGTATGGTATTGATCTTTGTACATATTCAAAAAGTTTTATCCACTCAGAAAAATGTTCACTTTCTGCTGATTCCTTGAATCTACATTCTACTGACACAAGTACTAATACATATAACCAGAGTAATGCGCAAATATTTGAAAATTTCTTCATGTAAGGTAATATCATTATAGGACAATGCAAATTATAAATTACTCATTCAAATACTAAATTCATGTGGGCGTAACACAAACTCCCTGAGCATTTAAGTGGTCTTTACTTTTCAGGCTGTCTATAGGAGGATTATGTTGCCATATCTACATAATACATCAGCCAACTCTCACCTCTGCATAACATCAGGATGATCTGCAATGACCCTAAGAGCAAAACTCAGAGTATTTCCAGTTGTTTCATGACCTGACAAGAGATAGTAAGGTCATCTAAGATTTTCAACAGGCTTAAGCTAAGACAGATTTGTGAATGGTGTTCTTTAATGAAACATGGCTTAGGGCCCAATCAAGGCAATTGGTAGCAAAATACTGAACTATCATACAAACAGTGTTTCTACATCAAATATTTCCCTACATAATTATTAATTTACAATTTTGATCCTTAATATAACAAAATTAAAATTACTTACCTGCTAAGAAAAACACCATTACCAAGTCCAACATATCTTCTATATCAAGATCAGGATCCAACTCTGTCAAACAAAAATGCATATAACTATAGAGCATATATCACACGTACAGCACATATTTTATTTTAAACCTGAAGTAATTAAGTTTTACACAGCCGACTTTCTAACTTTAGTTAACTGCTTAACATTATAATTAAAATGATATTGAAAACAAGGCATGACACAGATTTCCTCAGAAACGTACTTTTAAAGAGCTTAGTTAATGAAAAAATGATAAAACTAACCAGAAGCTTTGATAATGTAGGAGAGGATATCATTTGGGGAATGCTCTCCTTTAGACATGGCCATCTTCCGTTTCTCGATGAATTTTCTACCTTCTTCTCGCAAAAGTCTCACTGCTTGTCTAACTTCTTGATGGTAGGAGTAGTGAAATATATTGTACTATAAAAGAAAATATTTAATGCACAGATTAAAGACAACTGTTACACTGTATCTATTTAAGTGAAAATTATCAAATTCAAACTAAAAAGGATAAGTGTGACTGTGATCCTTGCAAGATAAATGCAGATAAACTTGTGATAAGAAGTTTCTAGGACCACAGAAAAGCCCAATATATTTTGACATGTTCTTGATATATTGCATTATGCTAGACCATGTAGTTCTGGGCTTGGTATGCTCTGAATGGTTGAGAAATAGAAGAGGTATATACTATTTATTTGTTTAGGCATCAAGTAGCAATAAAACTTGAGAAAACTCAAGATTGACCATAAATGTCACTAACACGTGTAATACAAATGTATTGGTTTTTATAGTACACATAAAATGGTTTCATGTAGGCATTTGTAGTTATGAACCAACTCCACACTACCCCCACTGGTGGAAAAATACTTCTAAATCATTACCTCTTCCATCATACCGGTAAACATCTTCTCAATGCCCTCCAGAACTGTTTTCACTGCTTTCGGGAAAGGAACAGTGTCATTGTGGACAGACTCTATCTCCGTGTCAAAGGCAACCTGCACATAAATCCAATATCAAATGTATACAACATGGCACACTCTGTTGTATCACAATTTTCCTCAGCTAAAGAGAAATTTTACATGATTTTTTTTTGCATCATTAATTGGGTGAAAAGGAATATGTTATGTAACTATAAAACATATGCTATATGAGCATGACTTTAAGCTTACATACTGTACATTATAGAAACTATACCATGTCTTAAACATAAGATTTTTCAGTAGTAATAAAAACATATTTTTCAAAAATAATGTTTCAAATTTCTTTTTAAACAAATCTGTAATAAGTGTATAAAGTTATTTTTTGTTTTAAACAAATTAAAAAATCTATACCTTTCCAATCACATCAAGGGTCAACCTACAAAACATGTCATTCATATCAACCATAGTTTTCCCATCAGCCAGCTCTGATAACTTTTCCATGAGTGAATCTGCTGCAAGATTGAACTGGTCTATCAAACTCATGAGAGCCCTGAAATGTAATGAAAAATCCCACTCAGACTCAAGGTAGAACATCTAAAGTAAACAAAATTAATCATCAGTAACCTAAAAAAGTAAAAAATATTCAACCTAAACATTTTAAAATGATTGATTCTCAGGTTTACCATATATTTACTGATTATTAGTTTGTATTTATCTTATCTTTTTAATTATCTGAAAGCACTATATCAATGTGTTGTAATGGTAGTAAGGATATTTACACTCTCTGGAATGCAGGATTCATGAGAGCTCTCATTTTGGACCACTCTGCATGATGTTCAATGGTCACTAAGCCACTCTTGCCTATGTACCTGGAATAATTGAACAAGTTCTGTATTACACTCAGCATTATGTAATTACATACCAATCATCACTTAGAGTGGTACACCCATATGTATTATGTTGCCAAAAGAACTGTAAGAGTGCATTCCCATAGATTTAGATCGATCCATCTAGATCGACCTAACTCCCTGGGGGTTCATGTTAAATTGCTGTCAGCTGAGCGTGCACAGTAGTTAATTACACCCTTACAACTTGTCGTAGGTGTGTGTGTGTGTGTGTGTGTGTGTGTGTGTGTGTGTGTGTGTGTGTGTGTGTGTGTGTGTAGTTTTAGTACGTACCTTTCTCCATACACAGACAGCAATGCCTGAAATGATTGAGGCCATCGTGGCAAACCTCCATTGACAAAAACGTCCTATAGTAAAAAGAAATATTAACATTTTAAAGTAAAACATCACATCATGAGAGCATTTAAAATCCAGGAGTGAGCTAATGCTGGTAGGCGCAATTTTTTAAAACATTGCTCTATACTCAATCATTTTACCACCTTAGTCTAAATATTTCAAAACTTGTACCTTTATTGCTCTGGGATCTGCTGTCATGATGGCTGCTTTGTGAAAGGCATGGAAAACAATAGTATTGCCATATGTCTCCAACCTAAAAAACTTATTTTTATTACCCTTTTTTAGAAGTCCTCACATTTTATATAAGGTCTATGTTACCATGCCACACACATTACAAAAAAAAGTCATAAGAAATTATGGCAGGCTTAACTTTTCAGCATTGAGGGTGGAACTCCATGTGCCAGGAATGTCATTCCAGGAAGCAATAGAAAAGTGATATACAAAACATGGTGAGTATGCACTTCAACAGATCGTTATTTGATAGAAAACAACTTGAGAAAATCTGTGAAGAAAGTGTCACTTTTTATTTATTGCCATATGCCACATTTGCTAGTTTGCTATTTTTTCTGATCCCACTCTCCACCAGATCCCAATAAATCTTGCTTGATTTTACATAAGATCACAACACTTTTGGGCTATCTAGGACAATTTCCATAACAGCTTACCAATTCTGCAAAAGATTGTGAAATTTCCCTCCATTTTTTACTGTTTGTACCACCTCAGCTGTATGCCCAAGTATCAAACTGGAAATGTAACAAATAATTCTAGACATGTTGTGCAATCAATAAAACAAAATTTCATGCTGTTTAACAAGCATTAATTGTACAAAACTGAAAAGCATTTTAATGCCCTAGAATCATTTTAACAAATGATGGAACATTGTGCACATGCATGTATAACAGTTTAATAACAAGCATTGATTGGCTGCAAAATCACTAACTTTTTAGCTTTGTACTGGTACATGTATAAATGTAACAATTGTATCATATTCATACCTTGATATTCCTTTAAATTTTGGACACGGCACATGTCCAAACTTAACTTTTCTGACCCATTGGATGAATAACAAGTATGCCACGATGCTAATAAAAGCTATGGCAACCACCATTTGGCCTATGACCCAACGTTCCATCGTTTTAACTGCAGTGTTGATTTGACCTGAAACACTATAGTATTAAGTACAAACTGTCAAATAAGATAAAATACCCTTGCATACTTATCTAAAATCATATGCTTAAATGGCTTGAATTCAACATGCGCACACTTTTTAGATAACTTGCATCATCATCTGAGGGGGGTGTCTTGGGAGGAAATTGCCCGAGGTGTGTATGTATTTATGACAAAATCTCTTACATTGTGGCTTCTTTCGCACGAAAAAATTACCACAAACGCACAAACAAAAAGAACTATATACCGTCGGAATTTTTTTCGCAAGTAAAAGCGTGCAATCCGAACACACTTCACCTTGGTTCTGCAGCCTTGTTTATCCACTCAGCTCAGCCAGCAGAGTTAGCGATAGTTTACATTTATTTCCAGGCATAGTTTCGTACACATTATGTTCGTAAAATAATGACATAGAATGTCAGATTAGTGGTTAAAAGATTTTGAAAATAATGTTTCGGATATACGATATGTGCATAACACACACTAGCAATTTTTTAATGTTTAACTAATAGTCGTTAATTTTCTATAAGTGCGTCTTGGGACATCGCAAAGCATGACGGTAGTCAACATCCGCCATATTTTGTTCTTCTTCTTGGTTGGGAATAAGGGTAGTATTTTATGGATATTTCCTGGCGTTTTTCCATTTTAAGAACAACCTGACATTTGGGCCATGGCTGGGTAAGCGATAGGGGACATTTAATCTATCTAATATCGTATTGTTTTGTCACATGTTTAAATGACTGCAGTGCGTGGTTGACACACTCCTTAGTCTTCTTAGTTCGTCCAGATAGTTTTCATCCCGTCCGTTTTCATCAATTGAAGGATTGTCTTAGAAAAGAGGTGATGGAAAGTTAATCGTTTCGTGTCTCATCATCCATGAATGTCAATGCTAGTGCTTTGACATTTGATGAGTTTATCTTCCTGCTAAGCATTTTCTTTGAATTACAGCGTCGACAATGCTACCAAATACATGGGGATAACCTCCCCGATCAGCATGGTAGAACCCAAGCCATTTGATATAGAATTGAGCAAGAAGTTAGAAGATACACTTAAACCATATGGTGTATTTGAAAGTGAGGAAGAATTAGCACACCGGTAAGTGTTGAAACATTATTTAAAAAGTGGAAGGATGGGAAAGTTTTTGTGAATTAGAAACGTATTTGATAGAAAATCTTGATTAAAGTGTCATCTAAATACATGAAATTTGTAAAAATATATAGACAAAATTTTTGTTTTTGAGACTTTTAGTAAATATTATATTGTTGAAGTATTTATCAACCATCTTTTCAAGAGAGATGCATGGGTTCCTTAAAGGATTCCTTTGCCAATAAAATGTACTATTTGGACTTTTTTCATTAGAAATAGAACATTTTGTAAAAAGGCTGGCTAAAATGGCAGAGTTGATTTTGAGTGTATGGTCTACAATCCTGTACCGTCGTTTTGGTTTAAATGTTTTTTTATGGAATTATGTGCCCCTAATTACAGTTTTTCATTAAACAAAGGTATTATTTTGCTTGATCAGTGATAAAATCTGAAGTAAGACTTTTCAGAAAAATTGCTGGCAGAGTTTCTGAGTACCAAAAGATTTATCTATTACCCAAAAGAATGTATGTAAGGCAGTAAATATGGAGTTTGGGGCTGAGGGTGACAATATCCTTAAATCATGTATTAATACAGTAGTATACAGTATTTATTTTACTTTTAGAATTGAAGTACTCAGTAAAATAAATAACCTTGTAAGGCAATGGATTCATCAAGTGAGTTTGGAAAAGGTGAGTCTCATCATATCTCTGGACTTTTGTTATATTTTCTGGCTTAAAAATATATGATTTAATGTTTGAGCAGTCAGAGCATATTTCTCCTCTGCAGCTTTGTTTATCCACTCAGCTCAGCGTTCATCAGCCAGCAGAGTTAATGAAAGTTTACATTTGTTTCCAGGTGCAGTTTCGTACTCGTTACTTTGGTATAATAATGTGATATCTTAATATAATGAAATAGTTTGATAATAACTTTAAATAAAGAAAGGAGAAGAGAGAAAAATGCACTTTACCATCTCAAACTTAAAATGATTGTAGATGTGATATTAGTTTTTAATAAATGTCTTTTCAGAACATGCCTGAGAGTGTTGCAGCTACTGTTGGTGGAAAGATTTTTACATTTGGTTCCTATAGACTAGGGGTACACACTAAAGGTAATGTCAATATATTTGGACTTCTGTATGGAATGTGTTCGTTTTAATGAAAATGTTAACAAAGAGGAATTACTACAGTAAGAAAAGGCAAGGACTGAACTGAAATTGTCTATGTTTTTTCATTAATTTTCATGAGCTGTGTATGATGGAATGAGATTTTTATTGTAACAGGGGCTGATATTGACACACTGTGTGTAGCACCAAGACACATTGACAGATCAGATTTCTTCAAGTCTTTTTATGAACTTCTAAAACTGCAACCAGAAGCCAAAGACATGAGGGTAGGTGTGGGATAATTTTATTGACTCTGAATATTTTCATATTATTGTTTCTTTTGATATTTGTTCGTCAACTTGCATTAAAAAGACAGACATTCAATAAAAAAATCAATACATTTTATCAAAAAAAAATTATTCTGTATTTCAAGAAAAAATTGGTTATTTTAGATGTTCACGTTTTGATATAATTTAGTCTTTAATTGTACCATTTGATCAAAGTTTGCTTCATCTTGATACTTTTACCTGTAGGCTGTTGAAGAAGCATTTGTACCAGTCATCAAAATGACCTTTGATGGAATAGAAGTAAGTTGTACCACATTAAGAGAGTTTTGAGAAAGCTAACCAAATATCTGATTGTATTTTTTATTATTATTATTATTTTTTCTTTGTTAATATTTGTCAGTACATGTTATACTGGGATATATCAACTCTGAGGGAAAAGTTTTGAAAAATGACATGTTAATTATATACAGGTTGACTTTTGAATCACAAAAGTAAAAGAACAAGAATGGTTTAATTAGCAATTATATATTTATGTGTCTTTTTTTGCACTTTCATTAGCTTGACATGTTGTTTGCTCGGCTGGCACTACCATCTGTTCCTGAAGACCAAGACCTGCGAGATGAAACCTTGCTTAAAAACTTAGACCAAAAATGTGTTAGGAGTTTAAATGGTGAGATATCGATGAATTCTATTTTTTTTTCTTTGAGGATCATTTATTAAGTGTGTTGTTATTAAAGGGATAATAACTCTTCGTATGAGATCTATATTTCACAATAAAATCATTGTGAATAACTCATAGATATATAATATATTCTGTTTTACCACAAAAACGGCAGTTATAGCTATTTTTCTGATATCTGAGCTTGTCTTTAGACCACGTGACCTCCATTGATGGCTATACTCTGTTAAAATCTCTTAAGAGATTTTAACAAAAAACCAAACTTTTTAGAAAAAAACCAGGGACTAACTTTGAATGTAAAAATGGATTCATTAACCATTGGTAAGTATGGGAAAATTGTTGTTTACTCCAGGAAAATTCATTTTTTGGCCAAAACGAAGAGTTATTATCCCTTTAATCATTGTAATCCCATGCTATATTTGTGCCAACATCTAACAAATTTTGACAATTTTAACTTCCTACCCTGTGATTGCTGCTTTTATTTAAAAAGTGTACATTATTTTTTCAGGTTGTCGAGTGACAGATGAAATACTTCGACTTGTACCTAATCAGGAAAGCTTTCGTTTGGCTTTAAGAACCATTAAACTCTGGGCAAAGAGTAAGAATCAAACTACTGATTTGTTACAGTTTGATGCCTATGTTGAATGATGATTGCTGCAAACAAATCTTATTTGTGATAGTATATGAATGAAAATCCTATCCATAATGCATGAAAATAAGGATTTTGACTATTACTCATACCCTGATGGGATAGTAGATGGATTATTTGTTTAGATGGAGCTAAGTACACACAATTTACAAATATCAGTTGTTAAGAAAAAGTTAATGTGTGTCACTGAATATTGATAATGTTTCAACAGTAGCAGATGAAAATGTGTCAATATAATGTTTTTCATGATTTCAGAGAAGGGGATTTATTCTAATTCTCTGGGCTTCCTTGGAGGTGTGTCATGGGCTATGCTGGTGGCCAGGGCATGTCAGCTCTACCCATGTGCTTCTGCAGCTGTCCTTGTTCACAAATTCTTTCTTGTTTTCTCAAAGTGGTAAGTGTCCCTGGCTGGGATACTTAATTTCCTCAGTGAGCATATGCTTTTTCTGAGAAGTATTTATAGGACATATTTATGAAATCTTGATAACTTGCATATGCATACTGGTAGGTTAAATGTGGTAAAAATGTATGTTTTTTTTTCTTTTTGCTATATACAGATATAGGTTGTGTATTTGCAAGCTTAAGCTGGCTCGTTTTGTGACTATGCATTTGTACAATTTGAAATTTGTTTTTGAAGGGAGTGGCCAAAACCTGTTTTGTTAAAGCATCCAGATGAACCAAAAACTGGACTTTCCTTTCCTGTATGGGACCCAAGGGTATGTTCAATAACTTGTATGAAATTTTAATTAACAATAATTTTATAACATTAAAAACTTTTTTATCTGTTTGTTTGTGCTAGATTAACTAAGAATATGTTAAATTGCTTAAAAATGGAATTGGAGGAACGCGGTCTATTGTTTACTTTGTAGTAACACGAAAACCTGTTAATAGAAAACTGTAAACACTCAGAACTGATCACTTCATTTCTGTTCATTGAAGGTCAATCTGTCAGACCGCTTCCACCTTATGCCCATCATAACCCCAGCATATCCACAGCAGAATTCCACATTCAATGTCACAGTCTCAACCAGGACCATTATGATGAAAGAATTTGAAGAAGGTATTTTTTTTTTCAAATACTAAAATTACAATAGGACTTAATGAGATAAATTGATAGTTATAAATTTGTCTTTATAAAGATAGAAAAGATAAGAGTGATATACTGATTCACTTATAAGGTTTTCTTAATGTACTGAAAATAGTGGTTATGTTTATGAAACACATAACGGTATGAACTCATGCTTGAAGGATCTTGGTCAGGGGCGGATTCAGAGTTATTTCCTGACAGTCTTCCAAATTATCTTTGTTGATCCGTTCTTCATTTTTGACCGTCTTCCGACAGAAAAATATTAGATACCCGCCAATGTAAACCTGAAAATCTGACCGTCTTCCGGAAGACCCAGAAGACGCCCTAAATCCGCCCCTGTTGGTAGTAACTTGAAGGTACAACAGAACATTTTGGTTATTTTGAGGGCATCTGAAATAGACATGTGGACTCACTTTCAATTTTAAAACAGAAAAATCTCTCCATGAATGTGTTAAAAATCAGTTAATGAGCTCAATTATCTCTTTTATAGGTTTGAATTTAGTGACCTTGATATTTGACAGCAAAGCTGAATGGGGACAGCTATTTGAACCTTCAAACTTCTATCAGAAGTATAAGTAAGTAGCAAAATGGGTTAGAGATTTTTTTTTAAAATTATTATTAAAATATTTATTGCTGAGAAGAAATGTTATATCAAACCCAAATAATAATTTTGGATATTATTCCTTCTAATAAATAACTTGGAAAAAAACATTTCATTGAGAGTAAAGTGTTTGATTTATTTGAACAGTTAGATTGTCAAGTACTTAATCTATAGGTCTGTGTATTTCTCTTTTACAGACATTACCTAGTCCTAATAGCAAAGGCAGGGAATGAAGCACATCACTTAGAATGGTAAATTGAAATCTGTGGTTTAGTTCCATTTTGAAGCAATAACAAATATATGACTAGGAAATTTGATGGCTGTTTTATTTTGAAACATGTTTCTTAAGCCAGTGATAGTGATACCATTTAATATTATCAAATGGTGCTGTAATTTATACTAATGATCTGCTGATGATAAGTATAATAATTGTTATTTCTGTCTATAGGTATGGTTTAGTTGAATCAAAGATCCGAATATTAGTTCAAAACCTTGAGAGAAATGCTTATATTGAGATAGCCCATGTCAACCCCAAGTCATTTGGACCTCAGGATGTGGAACGGTATATATTTTGTTTGAAAGCAAATCAGTTTATTGTTTATTTGTTTTTGGTTTTTAAATTCTGATAGAAAGGCTGTTAGAAAATGGAATAATAGTGAGTTTTTTTGTTTACTTTGTTGTTGTTACCATTTTTATGAATTTATACAGATTTTCTGGAAGTCCTTGACAAATATTTTGGTGATCCTTTTAGATCTGAGCAGTAATCTGTAGATTGCTTCATGCATTACAGCACCACAAATTCCTTTGAAAATACAAATCTGCTGATAAGCTTACTTTCTGAAATTGCAGAGAAGGAAAATATGTAACCAAGTGGATTATAGGCCTTTTATTTAAAAAGGTAGAAAGTGCCAACGTGAACCTCACATCAGACATTCAGTTTTTCTCTGACACATGTAAGTAGATTGTTTTTTTTTGATAATTATTTTTGCTTATAATCCTGTATGTCATCTGAAGTTCAACTTCTTAAACCAGGCCCATTTGATATCACCAGGAAAAATAACATATCAGATATGACAGCAGAAGAGTCAATTGGTTTCATCTTTATTTTAGTTTAAAACAACTGGACGAATCAAAACTTTCAAATTGATATCATCATTTAAATATTTGATAATTTTTTTTTTTCACACTCATTCATGTCACACTCATGAGTCCATGAACTCAAAGTGTAGCATGTGATAATTTGGCTTAGATTTGTAGTTTTTGTTTGTGAGTGGACATAACATATTCATATTTTGTATGTATTTGTAGTATTCCGTCAGGCCCACAACATAGGAATGCTAAAAGATGATATGAATTTCGAAATCAAGCATGTCAGACGGTAAGACAGTTTCTATGTTAGACACGATGAAAAAATGTTCTGAATTGTAAAATTTTTATGGGCATTGATACGAAATACATGATAACTCTTTCTTTAAATTTTAATGCTCAGCATAGTAACATTTGAAACTATTAAGGTTGAAAAAATAATCAAATGGCCAACAACACGATTTGCTATGTAGCATGAACTAAAGTGGAAGGATGTTACATTTTTCCTCAGGAAAGGTCTGGATGAGCATCTACCTCCAGATATCTTGCAGAAAGTGCGGGCCAGAGAAAAAAGTAAAAAGGTCAGTAAGTTTTGTGTAATAAAGGAATTTGTCATTTCAGTTGACTTGTTAATTTTTTTGCTGTAATTTTTAAAATCATTATTTTTTTTTATAATTTTAACTTACTGGATTAATTTTAGCATGGTTTTCCTCACTGATTGATTCCCTTTTTTTTATTCCAGGAAGGTCAGAAGTTGGCGTCTAACACACCAACTGGCAAAACAGGGTTGAGGCGAACGAGTTCCGATCATGGCACGGGACTGAGTCACAGTAAATCTGACACTGACTTGATACGCCACAATACCAGTCATACAGTGATTTCAATGGACTCTGATGATGCTCAGGAGGAAATAAGTGCCTTCACTGCCAGTACAGGCTCAGGAGCCGGAGATGTTAGTTTAGATGTCAGTGACCTGTCAATGCAATCAGAGCAGGGGGCCAGCAGGGACGGGCCAAGTGCAAATGGGATGGTGGCAAATAGACATGCAGAGGTTTGAATTTTCTTTTTTTCAAGTTTGACTCTATTGCAAATTAAATATTTTTTGGTATGAGTGAAAATCATACACATCATAAATGGTATTTATTTTATTCCCTGTTTTATTCCCTATTGTTTTGAAATGGTTTAATGCAGTCACACTATATCTCCTGATTTATTATTCTAAAATAAGTATACAATGAAATGCTACTATTGAGGAAATTTCTACAGAATTGTAAATTGTTAATTAAGTATCCAGTCCTACTATATGTGTAGTGTTTGTGCTCTATTCAAGGGAGACCATGAATCTGATGATTCCAATCCAGCCATAAACAAGCGTCCACATTCACCAGGGCCACAGAGTAGTCCTTCAAAGAGACCAAATATAGAAGAACAGGTAAAATGGCCTAGATGAAATTAATTAAATAGGATTCTTTATGAAAATAGCAATTTGAAATGTCAAGATTTTTTGTTGTTGTTGAAAAGTATCTGATAATTGTTCAATTTTTTTGGACTTCAAGAAGATGTTTTTATTTCAGGGTAACGATTCCCCAATGCAGGTAGAATACAAAACCCCTGCTGGCCTGGCTCCAAGAGCAGCAGATAAGCTGGTAAAGTAAACCTTATCATTTGGAACTCTTGAGATATTCTTTTATTGTACAGATGTTCCAACTTTTTATAATTTCTTAGTGAGGATCATTAACATTAGACTTTCTTTATAAAATTTTGATACATTTGGTATGATTTTTAAGTATATGTATTATTCCAGCACATCCACAGGCTCCCCAGCAATGAACTGCCAGATATTGCCAGTCCATCCCCAGTTCCCCTGCCTCCCAGCCAGGTCAACAAGAAGTCCATACAGCTCTCACTGAAACTAAAGTGACGTGTGTGTTTGTGTGTGTGTGTGTGTGCGGGTGTGTTAGAGAACGCAAGGATGAGGGAGTTGTGAATACCGTTAGCAGACTGTGTTTCTTAGAGCTACAGAAGAAGCTGGATGACTTATATTGCATCACCAGTGCTGCCTAGTGTTTCCAGTTCTGAAGACTGTAAAAAAAATACACATATGGACTGAAAGGGCAGGTGGATGACATTGTAGTTATGATAAGATGGTTAAAAACTTTAACATTATAGGTTTGAGTCCAGTGATAGTTTTATACACCATTCCTGTTTAACACACTCTTGGATTATTTTCTTTTCTGAAACCTGTTTGTAGATATTGTTGATTTGATGGAGTCTGTTGGTTCTTGTGTACTGGTTTAGTGTCTAATGATCTGCATCCCAATTTGAATGCATTGGATGACTACAGAGTCATTTGTTTGGTGCTAGCTTTAATGGTGTTTATCTAGCTTCTTCATCTTTTCTTTGGGCTTGCTTAAAGTATTTCAGATTTCCTGTGCAGGGATTGATTGAATGTTTACTATTTTATTTTATTTTTTTGTTGCTGCAGCTGTGAATTTCTGGGTTAGGGAACACTGTCAAAAGCATTAATGTGAGCAATGTGTGGACTCCAGCAGTCACCAGCTAGCATTGCTTTAATACTATGGTAGATTTAACAGGATGTATGTAGTAAGATAAGTATCAATGTCATTTTGTATGTCTATAAATTACACACGACTTCTAGGCAAGTCTTGGTGCTCTTAGTCTAAAATTCCCAAAGCTTAGCTTATGAAATGGCTTCTATTCCTCTTCCTTTTTTTTGGCATTGTTTGTATACCTTCTTAACTGATACATCCCTACATCATAAAAAAGAAAAAAGTGTGAACAATGTGATAGAGAGTAGATGTTGATTTCAGGTGTATTACATGGGGTTCAAGGTAAGTCTGGTAGCTACTGGTCAGCAGGTGATTGGTGATTGAAGTCAAAAGTCGAGGTCAACATGGTCGTTGCTTACATGGAGCTGACAGTTCATTTACACCATTAGCTAAGCAACTGGAGTGACCGAGGCAGTTGGGAGTTTTTTTACAATTCTGATACGCTTTGGTCATCTATCCCTTGTCTGGAGAGCCTCTTACCATTCCACACCACCATAAGCCTTCGTTTTAGCTTTTATCATAGTAGGCTACATTGCAAGATTTTTTTTTATGAAAGAAAGAGTTGACCAACATTACCTATTTACATGAATACCTTAATATTGTTTTAAGTAAGAGATTGAGTAACACACTGTTTGCAATAGGTGTTGCCATACTGAAGATGCCTCTGTGTGTCATTGTGAAAAATTTAAAAAGATAAAACACTTTTTCTTATGTCAAGTTAATGGGTACTAGCCCAAAACTTCAAATGACTCCTCAGGAGACAATTCACCATAAACCCCCCTGTTAAGTTCAGTAGGAGTTACCATTTGGTTGAACAGGCTAATTTCTTATTCGCAGCATCTTAAATGATGGAAAATTGTTTTGAAGGAACAAGAAAAAACTTTAAAAAGGTTTCTACTCTTGAGCTTAAAAAGGTTTCTACTCTTGAGCTGTTCCTTCACATCAGCCCAGCAACAGGGAGATAGGTATTGTAAAAATGTAAAAGCAGGGTTACTAAGTGGTACCCTGTGATCTCCACTACCACAACCCATGTACATACTGGGTGCACAGTGGCAGGTGTACAATGTATGTAATATAAATTGTGTATCATTGATACGTGATTATTGTATTGTATTGTATTATATATCAAAACATTTGAAGAAATAAAACTTATTTTAGAAACTTATTTCAGGTATCTGTCATCTTTCCGAATTGTTTGGTGGATAGGTAAAGGCTGGTCAGATTCTTATGGTACAATGTATGAAATTTGAATTTCTCAGATGCTCTTAGAGCACTTTCAGAACAGCAGACTAACAGATCCACTGATCAAATATGGCCGGCCCAGTGTCTAATTGAGGAATTGAACAGCAAGATTTTAGTGGGTTGCCATATTCGATTCGTAGATCTGTTAGTCCGCTGTTCTGAATGTACTCTTACAGCTGATATACTATTCTCGTGCACTTGTTATTTTCTCTTTGGTCGTGAGTTTTTTTTTTTTTTAAAGTAGAAATGAAACCTTTAAACTGAATTAGTAAAGACCAAATTTCTACTTTTTATGTACAGACACAGATGTGTCTGTACATATTGCCATCACCTGCGTCTGTCGTCGCCGTCGTCGCCGATGCCGATGCCGTCGCCGATGCCGTCGCCGATGCCGGCGCCGTGCACTTTCAGCGTTAACATGATAAGTGGAAGAAAGTTTTACTTTTTGGCTTTATATTTACAGAGCTGACGAATATTCATAAAACCCAGGTCAAGTTCGAAAATCAGCATGATGGAGCCATTATTGTAGAAGTTATGCTGTTTTTTCACTTTTCAGCATATATACAACACTGTTAACACATTTCAAGGAAAACCGATAGGCCTGTTGTCATGAAACTCACAGGAGCAATCAATCTTACTAAAACGCAGGTCAAGTTCGAAAATCGGCACGATCGGGCCACTATTTTAGTAGTTATGCTGTTTTTTCACTTTTTAGCATATATGCAACACTGTAAACACAATATAAGAAAAACAGATAGGCCAATTGTCATTTAAACTCACAGGAGTGGTCAATCTTACTAAAATGCAGGTTGAGTTTGAAAATTAGCATAATTGGGCCATTATTTTAGAAGTTATGCTGTTTTTTCACATTTCCTTAGATTCAGTTCTTAGGCATGTTAACAGTTTCATTATTTAATTAATAAGNGAGGCGGAGAGACTATTAAAAGATTAGGCGGTTTTTCTTTCATGTACGTCCGCCATTTTTAGGTCACCGGCTTTGTAAAGCCTGGCTTAATTCGTTGAGAATGCGCTCTTAGAGCGCTTTCAGAACAGCAGACTAACAGATCCACTGATCAAATATGGCCGACCCAGTGTCTAATTGAGGAATTGAACAGCAAGATTTTAGTGGGTTGCCATATTCGATTCGTAGATCTGTTAGTCCGCTGTTCTGAATGTACTCTTACAGCTGATATACTATTCTCGTGCACTTGTCATTTTCTCTTTGGTCGTGAGTTTTTTTTTTTTTTTATAGTAGAAATAAAACCTTTAAACTGATTTAGTAAAGACCAAATTTCTACTTTTTACAAGAGACCAGTTGACAAAAATTTTTGCAAAATTTCTTGCTGGACAAGTACAGAATTAGCCAGAAAAATGTGTGGCCCTGGTACAGGGTACAACATTTTTGTGTCTCCAAATTTAAGTTGTGAAAATGGGTGTTTATGAGTAGAGAGTAGTGGAAAATGTACAGGTTCAGCTTGGGAATTTTTGTTTCCAAATTAAACTGAGAAAAATGAGTGTTTATAAGAAAAAGGTACTGGAAGATATACTGACAGAGCTTTGAGTATTCATCAACAGTTGATAGCTAGATTGACCACTAATAATAAGTTGGTTTCTAATGATTAAGTACTACTGTAATTAAATTGAGAAAAGATGAGTGTTTATAAAATAAAAGCATTTGATAATACACAGAGACCGAGTTAAGAATTCAGAAAAGAGCAATGTCCAGCCTTGTAAGCTGATCACTGGTTATAAAACTCTCTAATGCCTCGGTCTCCAGGCCCTTGGAAATTGACCACCCAGTAAGTGACTCTTATAAAACATTCAGGCTGCTAATTGAAATGGAATAAAGTTGAGATGCAGTCCTATAGAGATCTGTAGACTCCAAGTAGAGTAGGGTAGGGAACATTGTAGAGATGGTAGTCCTGTAGGAAATGGTGCACTGACAGTTCAGAGTAAAGATGTTTACTCTTGTAGAAAGCAGAGAGCAAGAGATTCTGAGAGAGAAACTTGATATATTAAGCACTGGTTTGAAAAAAATCCAGCTCACTGATTATAAATTAAATCATTCTAATATCAAAGAAACTGGCATCACAAGAATGGTTTAGTGATCTTGCACAAGTAATGCAATTTCTATTTAAAGTAGTGTTGACATCAACCCGATTGAAACGAAGAAGAACTACATTGGAGCACTATTTCTCTCACCTAACACACTGAATAAGAAACTAGACCAGGGTATGCTTTACAAAGATGCCATTTTATTCCCCTTATATACAATTTGTACAACATTTCAAACATAACACTTTGGAAATAAAAAAGGTATTGCACCATGAAGATAATTAATAGCACAGATGATTTGCTGACTTAATGCTAGATCCTTACGGAAGTGTTTCCTTAATGTTAGTAATCAATTAGCTAAAAGGTCCTGGGTGAAAAATAAGTTTCCTGAATGTTAGAAAAACACCATAATGATAATGACGTAATCCCTGGCAACAATTTCAACAATTTCTAGACCTTATGACCAATATTTCAAAAGACAACAAAAATGATTACAGAGAAAAATGGACACCAGCATCAAGAGCACTGATGGTGTTTTCAAACCAAAATTAAATATAATGAGTTAGAACTTTGGAGGTAGAAGGTCATCATTATCCAAGAAAATGGCTTATTCAATCAAACCTTATTCTACATATTCCACTGAATCTAACTCAATGATTTTCATCTTTCACAACTAAGCATCCATGGGTCATTATATAGGAAGCTCAATTTTAGCAAAACAAAACTTTAGATCTTAGTATTTGGAGGTTAACTTTTTGATGTATGGTACATTATTAAAATAAGTAATTTTTTTGCTTAAGCAAAACTGACTCTGAATAGAAATTAAGGTATGTGAAAGTGTGGACTTTAAAAAATTAAATAATTCAACATATTCAAAAAGTTGAAGCTGACAATTCAATTTTTTATAAAAAATGTAAGCCAAAGCTTAACCTGGCACCACCATATTCATTTTGATTCTGATGAGAGTATCTTGCAAAATTACAAAATTGATTCAGCACCTAAGAACATTTAGTAGTCAAGAGGTTTAACCTTTATGCTACCAAATTTTGCATAAGGCTCCTGCAGAGAAACAACTATTTCTTTGCTAAATTTCCATGTTCACTCACTATTTCCATTACGCTGTTACCTATAAGTTAAAGCAGTGAGCACTTCAGTTACCATATGAAAAGCTTCCATCACATTTTGATATATACTTATATACATGGTGGAACTCCCCCTATCCCTATAAATGTTATAAACCCTTTCCTAGAAAACTTTTAATGAGTCTCTATCTACTATAAATGGCATGATTAATCTGTCTACTTAATAAAGCAAATAAAAAATCAACATGGAATATTTATATCATAACTATCTTTTATACAAATTTAATTACTCAGTTGTTGTCACTGGCACCTGTTTGAATCTTCTACAACCCCCTCAAAATATACATGTATTGATGTGTCTACATTAAATAAATAAATAACTAAATAATGCTGAAAATATTAAAAAAAAAAAAAAACGTAATGATTTCAACTTTTTTAAAGGCAGGGAAAATGCTTTAGCAAGTTATGTCTTATACAAATCTAAAAGTATATATATGAACGTGTTCAATTACAAGATTTTCAAAGGGACATAGTTGAAATACCTAAACAATGTAAAATGTATCAGAATTTTACATGTAATTCATAGGAACAATCTACATAGTAATACAGATGGAATATTAATTTATTCTTTGTTATTTAACTTGAAAGAAACCCTAAGTTTTTTTTCTTCACTGTTGTATTTTAAATCAAGTTTAAATCAAGTAGGAAGTTATGTCTGCACCTGTTTGCCCACCTCAACATTTCCAACTAATAACAAGAGAAAACTGTAGCACCGAGTTTTATTTTTGTTGCAACTTATAGACCCTACTCTCTTAGGAAGACCTAAGCACTGATTATTTTTCTTCACATCTAGACAAGACTGTGGCTGACTCATTTATAGTGGTCAGTTACAGATAGTTTACCACTGACTAACAAAGTGGATGCTATTAACCTTTCCTCTCTGCAAGATGACTTTTGCCTCCAGTAAGTGAACAGATGAACTTTTAGCTTAAGTTAATGTGTACAAGCAATATTATCCGTCATATCATAATATTCATCTAATTATAATAATGTGCTGCAGTAGGTGCAAGTAATAAGTGATCTAAATTTCTGATGACGATATTCATAATACGAAAGATAACATACTTAATACTATAAAATGGTTATATGTAATTATCTTCTCAGAAATTTATCTGCAATAGATCCCGGCCTCTCTGAATAATACTAGATTATTCAGTGCTACTCATGAAAGATGTAAATTCTATATCAATTTGTGTGTTACTTGTCTAAATACAGTGATATTGCAACCACATATTGCACCATGTCATACATGTCATAAAGATATATAAATTCCCTCTCCTGAGTTTATGTCAAAGTCTATGTACTACTCGAGGTACTCTTTCAGAATGTACGAGGAAGAATTCTTGGCAAAAGCAGCATGTAATTGTACCCCAGAGTGCCATGTGTCATTCTTATTCTTTGCACCTTTCCCTATAGAGTGTTAAATATGGCAGTACTGAATTGTTAAATCCTTGTCAGTCAGTCCCCTTATTGTGCAGCAATCTCCTGATTTGCACTAGTCCCAGTGGAACAGGTTGGGCTGATTGCCCGCAGTGGCACAATGCTTGCCGTCTTGATTCCTGCCAGATTCAATAAGGCATCGGCTCCTTCCACAATCTTTCTCTCCTCATCTTCTTCCTCGGCTGCTCCTTCTTCTTTCTCATGGCATCCATTTGTGCGGGTACAGTTTTGCATCTTGCGCTCCTCCAGACTGCCACCAATGCGTACACGACTCGTTCGCCCATCATCCAAATTGCTGACATCACTGTCGTACTCTTCAAAATCGCTGGCCTCACTATGGTAATCACTGACGTCTGCATCTTCTGCGTCACTGGTGCCACGCCTGCCAAACTCGTACTCCTCGTCAATGGATGAAGATGGAGAAATGCTGCGATGCTCACGCGGAGAGCCGGATGAAGAAGATGCGCTATAGGTGTGGTCCTCACTGGGGCTGTTGGTGATCACAACTGGGGACCTGGGACGCTTCTTCACAAAGTTTCCAGGACTGTATCTGTAATGTTATTATATACATTTACTATTAAAGTCAGTTTTAATATATGTGGGAAGGTGGTTCAAAGCAAGGAAGTAATATCCAAACATTCTCACATTTATGCATCGAAAACATAAGCTGATGATAGTAAATATTATTAAATTGTACTTGGAAAAACACTGGTAAATATTATTCATGTAAATATAATCTACTCACACAAAGTATTATGAAGGTTGGTTGCAGACATTAGTAAAATATTTATTATCAATGCTTGCATTAAAGCTGGGTAACTTTCCAGTTAAAAAAAGGATCTATAAAAGTAGTGTTGGGAGGGCAGCTTTTCAATACCTACCTCAGTTTCCTCTTTAGCTGAGCCCTATGGCGATCTCTCTCGCTACCAAACTCTGGCGGTGAGGGAGACCTGTGACGGTACATTGCACTGCCTGTCTTGCCATTGACTAACTGCAAGGGTGTGAGGGGCTTCAGGCGAGGATCTGAAAGTGTCATTGTTATGTTTATTACAAGGAACTTAAACAGCATATTTTACAGAATAATATAGGGAGTAAACTAGTCAATCAAGTTTATCACAGGCCTTCATCATGTATCAATTATACCTTTAATTTGTATGAATGGAACACCTTTGAAGCATCCATAGACTGTTAGGATTCTTTCAGATGTGGGCACATTTAATGAATGTTAGATTATCTTTCAACAAAACTTTTTTTTTTTCTAGCTCAGAGCAAAAAATATACATATTCCTAAACCTATCTCATATGCTTTTTAGTATTAACTTACTGTCTCCAGTTCTTTGAGATCCTTTCAAAGCTACCAAAGTATTTGCAACATCAATGTCCATATCTGGAAAAAAATCATTATACATTATATTATACAGTTACAGTTTTGCAACCAATGAAAACAGATCCCTTACTAAAATTAATTTTTTTCCATGTTCTATCTACCCAGTGAAAGAGGAAAAAATGGTACAATGAACCTAAGAATCTTTACCAAAGGGCTGCATCAGAGTCAAAACAGGACAGTGCTTTAGGTGCAGTGCATATATTTACTGCTGAAGCACTACTACAAGCAGCTGTGGATAAATGCCCAAAAAGCAGGTTAAACCAGACTACAAATTAAAATAAAGTTTCAGGCTATGACGATCTTTGTCCAGATTACAACACATTAACTATTTCCAATTTATTATCACAGTCTTGCATGTTATTATTTGCTTGTTATAAGGAAGTGTGAAAAAGTGTATAAAGATTAATATTACATGTTTATGATTAATAAATAATTAATATGAGTAATATTTCATTTGCTAACTTGACAACATTGCAAAACTGAGTTGTTGATGAAAACATGAACCTTCATGTAGCTGAATAAAAACAACCATGGAATCACAGAAAAAATACTTCTGGTTTATTGTCACTAACAAAAGAAACAGATTTATGTCTTTTAAATCAACAGAGCCACTGTTCTTAGCTCCACCAAATGATTTATCAAATGGACAACCACTTTGCAGTGCCCAAATGTGCTTGAGTACAGGTGGCAACAGCAGATGTAGCTATAAATTTACTTAAGTTAACTATGTTGTGATAATGAGAAAGGATCTACAGAAACAATGGAGCCAGGCCAACCAATCTAATATAACCACACTTTGCTTGTTTACAGAACATTTGACATTTATTAGCTGTGTTTTTCAACACGTTTGGGTGGTATTCATTTCATTATGTTTTCTTGAGGTTTGCCGCATGCAAGACTAGCATAAGAATGGGAAGCATAAAAGGCAAATGTTGACTTCAATTACACTATACAACTGTATCATTTTTTATTATCTTCATATCTGTTGTTTTGCAATTCTAATCCTCAAAGACATTGAGAGTCAAGGGAAATATTTAGATAGAGTAACTTTGTTAGACACACAGTTCTTTAACATAACTGTTGCTTGGAAACCAATAGCGTTAATAAATATCTCTATGACTACTAAATCAAATGAAGCAAAAATGTTTTTTCTGCCACGTTTTTATGGAGAGTGAAAAGATCTTAAATTTCTCTCCATGTGTTTCTGTTCTTACCTGTCTCGGTCTTTGACTGAGCTAATCTCCTACTTAGGAAGGGAAAAAGATCTGAAAGATAGGCAATGACAGAAGAAGCACGTCAGCACACAGCTACAAAGACTAGACAGGGCAACTAAAAGTTACAGGCACACCAAGTGCAGTTCAGACAAGAGCAGACAACATGATTCACAATTAACTTCTACATTGATTAACATTTTCTTTTAGCATGTTATCTAATCTAATCTTGAACTCTTATTGTGTCAGAGAAAAACAAAAAACTAAACTACAGATAGCTCATGAGTGTTTGCACAACGTTTTAGCAGACTAGAAGCAGGTTCAATATATGGAGAAGTTGCTTGTAAACATTTTTGTGCAGTTCCTTCATACTTTTCAATGAGAGTTCATGTTACAGGTGGGTAATCATTTACCCTTTCCTTTTTTCATCCAAATCAGTGGAATTGAACTGCAGGTGTTCCACCCCTGTTCACCCGCATGTTTTACATGACTCATTACCAGGTGACTTTAAATTGGACAAGGATAAAGAAATGTTAAGGCCAGAGACAGATATATACTGGATAAAAGGGGAAAATATTACTTTGCTATCTATTTTTGTTGCAAACCTGGACGCTATTCAAAAAACTTTAAATCTTTTGACTGAAGAAAACCTTAGACATTGCGACTTAAAAATGTTTGGATATAATTACAGTGAAAAGTAAATGAAAAGTTAAGAGGGGTTTGATAGGAAAATAATACATTAGAGTGCACTTTATTAAATTTTAACCACATAATGAATCCAAGCCAGATGGATCACAATAGATCCTTCCAGCTGATCAACTGTTTCTGGCCTTACATTTATTGTTAAGAAAACTAGAAGTAAGTGAAAAAAGTGCAGATGTTGTTCACAATCACAACACTTGGTGTCTAATAAAAGCAGTTTTATCTTTTACTTACGTGGAGGCAAGGAACTGTTCAGGTTGAATCTGGGTGTCAGTGGCATCGGCCGAGGGTTGCTAGAAAACAGAAAGCAAACTTTTTATTCAAACTTATCATTACTACTTGAATAAACCAAGAACATGCTTTTACAAATTGTAATATTATATTAGCATACAACTTCAGCATTAATAATGGGTCATTCCATCCACATGTGAGTTGTCAACAAAACCATAACAAAGGAAGAATAATTTCCTAAGTAACTCCTGACACGTGATATCACATTTCAATCATTTTTCACAGAAACAGTGGACCTCTAACAACATAAAATCAAACAGGTAACATTGTGAACCACGTTAACATAATGCTATGTATCAGATAATAGAGATGACACCTGATAACTGTACCATTCATATCCACAACATTATTCTGTATACAATGTGTACTTTGAGGTTTTTTTCTTATCAGAAATTGCTGATAGCAAAGTGTACCATATTTTGGTACATAAATAATTTTCAAATAACAAAACAAAGCACTTCTCTTTCAATGATAAAGTTTGGATAACACCAACCTATGGTTTGTATTACATCAGTCTTTCTACAGTTTTGTAATAGAATTCAAACAATTTATTGATTTCTGTGTGCTAAAATGTGTTGGACTGATTACATACAACAGGCAATTTGAGAGAAAACATACAGATATGAAGAAAAACCAATGGTGTATAAATGTTTCCTTATAAAAAATTCCAATATGCAAGGAGAAAATATACTCCAATGTACTTTGTTTTCTAAATGATGTTTGACGTGTGTGAATTACCTCTTATACTAAATTTAACAGTGGTGAGCAAAATTAGTAATCGCATTCATCAATGAAAAGTTGAATGCTTTTCTTATCAAATAACACTTCACCAGTTATACTGTAGAAGAATATTGATTGATGTTTTTTGGTCTTGCCAATCAATATGTAAACTGACTGAAACCATGATTTAGTCACATCAAACAAAGAGACAATTTATATTTCATTATGCATAGTGATCTATCATTTCTGTGACACAAATAAATGCTTGAAGTGTCACTTTGTCTCTTTATTTTTTTTCTTTAAGCTGACAACACATACTTTTTCTGTACTGTGTGTGTTCAACTTAAAAAGCTGACAAGCAAAATCAGGCTGACTGATGAGTTGTCATATGTAATATGTGTGATCCTTCTTTTCTCCTGGCAACTATATACAAGTAGGCCAAGGAAGACACAATTTGCATATCAATACACACAAAATGACCTGCATAAAAACCTGTGGAGACAGCGGAATTCATATAACACACAAGACCTATCCAGAACTATCTAATGACTATTGGGTGGGTAGCACACCATATTTCAGGGTCTATGTGTTCTAAACTGGTGACAATATGCAAGAAGGACCTCTGTACACTTACTTATCAACCATTTACCAGGAATTTTTATGATGCTGCCAATGTAAAATTTATATAAATCATATATTCTTTATGGGTTTATGAAATAGAAAGGATGTTTCTCTTTGCAGTAGTAGATTATTAATGCAAAAATAACTGATGCATTTTTGAAGTTTTCCGGGGGGGGGGGTTTAGATTAACGTTTTTAAGAAGAGAACTGAAAAACAGAAGCCGAAGAGAGGAGGTAAAGGCGTTTTTAAGAAGAGAACTGAAAAACAGAAGCCGAAGAGAGGAGGTTAAGGCATATAAAACCAACTTAATAGCAGAAAAAAAAACTCAATTTTAAATCCTATTGGTAAGCAAAACATTACTGTATCAATCCTTACCCTGGAAGAACAGAGTATGAGTATGTCTGGGTGACTGGGGGGTTGGCAAGCATCTGTAGCTGGTGGTAAGGGTGGTATGGGGTCTTCCTGAGTGCCTGCAGGAGGTTGGGTCTGTAGTCTGGGTCGATGCACCATAGTGATCCTTTGCCTATACTCTGAAAGAAAAATTCAAAACAGAAGATGAATATATGCACACACACACACACACGTACACATACACACACACACACACATAAAAAATCTAATTTCAATAGCATATGCTTTAAAATGCACACATTTATAATTACAATTGAACAATTAAATTAAAAAGAATTATCCAACAAATTAAGTACATTTTTGGTATTAGTTCATCAGATTTTGATTTTCTTTTATTAAAAAACCTTCAACGGTGGCTAAAAGACTGGTGGTAGACCAGCACAGCCTCCAACCTGCCCTTTACATATGGCCTTACAGAAACTGACAACAAGCAGAGCATGACTTAGTCTGCACACCTGAGAGTTTTTTTTTTTTTTTTTTTTGACCTGTTACCTGATAACATTGAACTGCAATTAGGCTTGGAAAATAGTAAAGGTGTAAAGAGTAAAACCCTTTCAATAAGGAGGGCCCCTATTTCACATGTATGTGTATATATCCTGCTAAGGCTCAGCATTTTTTTTTTGTAACTTCCATGTGCATTGACACGAAGAAACCTCAGACGTACTTCACAGTCAATAGATATATATTTTGTCTCAGTGGAAATAAGTAACATTATTAAATGTCAGCAACTCCTGTGTGACACCAGCAGTACACTTGAGTGGTGTTAGCAGTGTAAGGTGGCCCAGTGCTCATCAGCTAGCTAGTCCCTTTGTCCAGTCACTTACCTCTTTACAGGCACTCTGGAAACTCACAATATTTTATCCTTAATTCCATTTGCTCTTAGTATAGAATGAGAACACTGGGCTATGCTACTAGCTGCTTTTGCCACGGACACTGGGAAATCTCCTGTGTAAAACGGCCAAACATCAAAGAACATGACTCAAGTTGTGTATATTGTTTTCATTTACCCATCACCTGTTCTACCTGAATTGCTGCTAAATGCAAAATAAAGGGCCCCGGGTAATAATTTCTAGCCATACAGTTTACTGAGATTCCCCTGTGAATACTAGATAAAGTGCATCTTTCATGCTATATCCGAACCTGGTCGCCTAATTGAATACTCGCATACTAGCACTAAGTAAACATACTGAAGTAGAAAAGCTGCCTGTCCATTAGTGCTGCTCTACAGATGTTGGATCTTTTTTTTCAAGATTACACGCATGCTATTCTATTCCTTTGTTACCAAATGTGACAAAGCCACTATGAGTAACATTTGATATTAATATACATAATACATCTAAAATAATATTTGAGGACAATTATATTTACAGATCAAATTATTTATGTTATTTCCATGTGATTGCTATAGTGAGAGCATCTTTCATCAAAATTCTATTCCTTTGATACCAAATGTGACAAAACCATGAGCAAAGTTTGATATTAATATACATAATACATCTAAAATAATATTTGAGGACAATTATATTTACAGATCAAATTATTTATGTCATTCCCATGTGGCTGTTATAGTGAGTGCATCTTGCATCTTAACCAAGTCAGGCCTAACCAACTACAAGACTAGGCACTGAATGATCCTTAATTCACCGGTAGATTGGAACACTATACCCGTTTTCAAGGTGTGCATCAGTACGCAGAAGTTTCAGAGGCGACACCACTCTTACCTAGTACGCGATGTGATAGTGATGACTCTCAGAGGGGTTGGAAAGTAGTGCATCTGATCTCAAAATTTGTTCCGAGGTATGATATTGTGAAATGCAGAAACATGGAAATGAATTTTTCTATGGTAGTAACATGTGAAACTGGTTGCCTTTATCTCATTTGATAAAACTGCCTTTTGCAATCCTGACCTATTCATTAAATATAATTATTACTATTATTTTGCATTCTTCATACCAGGTAAGAAAATATAAAACTAGTTCATAATTATCATAATGCTCATCATTCTCTCTATGGGTCAGTATCCTTAACAAGGGGTCATTTGGTCCAAATTAATAATGCCTGGTAAGAGTGGCCTATATTGTAGGGATACTGGACTGTGCACATGCAAGAACCTGTTAGCCAAAGATGTCTTTTGCCCATCCTACTTCTGTAGAGATAACAGACCAGCTGTTGCTTTTCTGAACAGTGGTGGAGTCTTAGTACATGTACTAGTAGCTGAACTTTCAAGAGTGTCTTTTCAAGAGTGTACAAAGAAGAGGTCTGCTGTCATATTTCTTAGCAATGAAATCGTGTTCTGAAGGTTATTCCTGTTATTTAGCAGAACTATATATATATTCCCTGACATCCTTCTGTAGTTCTCAATCATTTCACAGCCTCATGTATACTTCACAGACCAGATATGTGAGGTCAAATCCACATGAGAAATCAAGCTGAACTGTCACAGTAATTTAATTCAAAACTGGGTTAAAAGCCACTAAATAAATGCAGGAGATGAAGACTGATAAGATGCACTATTCACACAGTACAGTTCAACACAATCATAACACAACAAAGACCATTCCACAGCATTTGGAAAAGCAAAATAAACTGCAAGAAAGATTTCCAAAGACAGAAAATATTTCCCTATTAACATCCTAAATCTGTTCATGTCACCAAGATTTATTTTTAACACAAATAAAAAACAATAAGATAGAAAAGGTCGCAAAACCTGACATAGCAAATGACATAAATAAGATCCTCCCTAACATGACAATGCCTGACTGATGGCCATCACTAGTTTTCATCATTTTTCAACAGTTGCTTTGAAAGGTAACCCAATCTCCAGGAGAGGTCATGGGGCCAGAACCGCTTGGGTGGGTTCCAAATTTAAAACCAGAGTTCAAGTCAACTTGATTTGATCCAACAGCTTGAAGTCAGCAATTCATACCCTTATCTTTCAATTTTTTTCGCACAATTCCCATATATTTTCATTTTTGCTTTTGCCTCATTTATGTCGTCAAACGGCCAAGGCATAATAACTAACACTTGTGAGTTCCTTTCTACATAAGTAAAGAGCAAAGCTGCTACCACTTGCCATACTTAATCAGCAGGAAACACAAACTGCAACTAACAATGTTTTCCATAGTTACAACAAACAACATGGCTGCAGAAACAAAGTCAACATTCAGTTGGAACAATGACACTCATGAATGTTTAAACAAAAGTGTCATCAATCAACAACAGTAGAAATAGACAACCATGATAGATAAAGCAAAATGCTTCATCGTAATATATCACTACTACGGTCAGATACTTATTAAATGCAAGTTAGGGTGGTGGAAAACTGCAGGACCATAAAAAATTAATAACTGGTTGAATCCAAGACATACAAGTACTGTTAAAGCTGCTATGCTGTGATAAAAACACCTTACTTTTGGAGAACTCTATACTACTTAGTGTTTTCCAACCAATATTGACCCCTAACAGTTCTTTATTGGATATGGAGATTTTTTACTTCAGGCTCTTGGAGAGTCTAACCTTTTTAAAAGCTAAGCTTTGGTAAGATGGAAAGAGGACCAGAATTTTTTTAAGCCATTTCAGGGTGATGCTTGTGGCAAATAAGCCTCTTTTGGAACAAACCCAATACAGATAAAGCATAAAAGTGCCAAAAGGAATTTATATTGAAAATTTTTCAGTAATGAAACATCCTGCCATAAAAAAAGGAACCACTTTAGTTGCCAGTTCGTGGGAAAGGATGTGGATGTCATGACATGTGATTGGCAATTTTACTCAAGCTTCTTTTAAATCTGTGAAATATGGATTAATTTAATTGATGAGACATTGTGCGTTGTGTCAAGTGTGTTAAACTCTTCTTAACCTTGTACCATAACTACCATAATTGTGCCTTTGTTCAGAATATAAAAATAAGGATTATGAAAGGACAATTTCAACTAAGGATGCCACTAAATATATTTCAATGGTTGAAACAACATTCTTTTTAAGGCTTTTTAATCATTTACAGTTTTTTCTACCTAAGTTTTTTTCCCAAAACATAAAATATATATTGATGAAAAGAAAATGGGTTTAAGAATCCAAGAAATTTAGCTGACAGACTGGATTACTGAAATGCCTGCCCTATGCTAATTTGAAGACAACGTAAATATCAAAGGAGTGACATATGATAGAGAAAAAATGTACCTCAACTGTTCTACAAACCTAGTGGGTTTCAATAACAGAAAATTTCCCCTTGTACTACAATGCACAGTGTCATATTTCCATCCTGTCAAATAGTATAATATTTCAGTTATCTGTCATATGCCCGAGTTATTATGAATCTGGTTTTAAAAGTTTACCTCATGGACTATTTACCTCAGGTACACAATACCCTTCCGGCTGACCTTAGGCGGATTATTGTCACAGGATAACAATGAACCAGGTATTAATCAAAGAAAACTATTTAATATGGTCATTCTATGGAACGCGTTTATAAATTTAGTTTGGTGATTATTTCCTGTTATTACTACTTTCTTTTAACAATAAATAATAGATTAATAAAACCAATTATGATACCAAAGATTTAGATTATTTTAAGCTTTCATAAAAATAAGGTGACTGTTATAGTTATGAAAGTAAGAGAGAAGGAATACATGTTGAATACAAACCTGTCCCCTTTCTTTTTCCACTTTCTTGAAGCATTTGTTGAGGGATAAATTATGACGGACAGAGTTTTTCCATCCTGTTGGCGCATTCTGGTAGTAAGGGAAGTGTGTTAGAATCCAGTTATAAATGTCTTTTACTGGAAGCCTTTTCTGTGGTGAGTCCTCAATTGCCATGAATATCAGACAGCTGAAAGAGTAAGGTGGTTTGCTGTTTACATGTTTTTGAGGATTATAGGGCACATTTGGAGGATGAACTTGTCCACTGACTTCCTTGCCATTTACTTCTCCTTCTTTATTTTCCTTCTGAGTCTCTGGGATATCTTCCAAATCTGCTTCACCGGCAATATCCTTCAGCAGGTTTGAGTCCTGGAGCCAGGCTAAACTAGTCAAATCATCATCGTCATCTTCATCAATGGGGCCCTTATCCAAACGGATTTCAGCAAAACAACTCTTTGCCAGTGGATCCAAGTCTCCCAGTTCTAATTCATCACATGAATCTGGAGCTGAATTAGCAGCATTGCAAATCTTCAGCATTTTGGATAATGCACTATCTGGGAAACTCTGGCTTAGACTGTCCACAAGCCGTTTGCGAAAATCCTCGTCACTTTCCTCCAATCGTTTGTTGGAATCCATGGCAACAGCAAATCAGCACCTGCAACAATTCAAGGGCAGAGATAAAAAAGGTGAACAATGATTGATGATCTTGAGGTAGCCATATATTTTATACCCGCCAGAACACAGGCTGCATCATCAGTATTACACTATGTCCTCCAATACCTTAGCGCCCTCCATTTTTCTGGCAGCCCTACAAATGATCTGTAACAAAAATGACAGCAAAGCATCTTATTTTGTGGACGCCATGTCTTCTGAACACAAACTGAAAAAATAATTCTAAGATACAGCATCAGGCTAATAAGGTGCACGTATAGGTCACCTGACTATGCTGTTGCCATGGCGCTGTCACACCAATGTGAAGATTGATCATCACTTTCCCTGTTTGTGAAGATGAGAACAGGCTGAATACTAATGATTGTCATTACCAGCATACCAAAAGCATTACATCAGTCATGACTGCAATGTCCTTCAGTGAAATAAGTCAACCCACAGACTGTAACACAAATGGCAACTAGTTCTATTATGACAGCCTCATCCAGTAAAGCATCACTGAAAAGGGGAGCTCTATCTTAAGGCAGCATCTCCATTTCACACTTTCCGTTCCTGTAAAGGTGCCACTAACCCTGCATATGCTGTCCTTTCATACATCTTCCTGTGCTATAGAAACATGCATTTTTGCTGTATTACTCAAGATATGTATCAGTTACCGCTCACCATTACATTAGCATTTGAATATAAAATGATTTACACCAAAACATTGCCCTAAATATCCATTCATTAACTCAATGACAAGTGCTAACAGATTTTGAACAATGCATATAGAATAAATGATAGAGGGTTCGTATGTAAAATAAAAACAAAAAATACAGAAAAGTTAATGGATTACATGACAGGTACATGGAATCTATGTCAGGTTGAACAGAGTAGAGTGAACATATATCAGTCCTGCTACTACCTAATGTCTTTGTTCAAAATGAGAGATTAAAAAGCATAAGGAGTTCTCTTATTAAACTAATGGTGACAAGAGCTTTTCATATACAAAATAAATGCAAGGATTATACGTCACCATCCTTTTATTTTATCAGTATTTTTTTTTACTTTAATGAACCCTTGTATGTACCACAAACTTGGCATAGATTTCATTGTACACCTGCACAGATTTTTTTCTAAATCCAATGACCTCTGCCTAAAGGTAAAAAATTTAAAGAAAATACCAAATCTTTTTTTTACAGTGCCACTAATATGGTATTTAGCAAAGATGATGTTAGGTCCACACAAACATGAAAAAAAAAAACTTGTAACATCATATTCCTTTGTGTTGCTAACAAACAGAACCCACAACATTAATATACCAGCATGACAGGAAAATTTGTCCAAACATCACCATATAATAGATTAAAAATGACCCTGTGGCTATTAGATTAGACGCCACACATCTGCACCTTAACAAAGGTAGAAGCGGAATGTTTGATGTGTTTATATCCCCTTCACTCTATACACATTCCATCTGATCTTGATCCAGATTGAAGAGCACATGTTGGCTTATACACTGAACGAAGTGGCTTTCATTCTAAATAAATAGTAAATATCACTTTTGATGTTCTGAAGAGACTTTAAGGTATTGCTGACATCACAGCTATTCACTGAGTGTCTCCATTCATGTTGAAGAGGCACTTCAATACAGAGAACTCACCACTGAAACATTTAATTCTTTTCAGTGCAATTATTGAGGCAAAAAAACTGAAAGAGCCTCTGCTTTGAGTGTGACCTGTCACAGCTCAGACACCCAGTCATCTATCTTTGACCAATGCCAGATCTGTAGAATTTATGTTTAAGTAAAATGTTTTTTTAATGAGTTATGTGAAGATATATTTATCTCTGAACTTTTTTTGTACAATATAAAACATTCAATTCTCACCATATCCATAACGTCATCCATCCATTATTCTCCTGTTAAAATGTTAGTTTCAAGAAATATCCTTTTCTTTTGTTTTCCTTGATACTGTGTAGCTTGTGCATAATTCACACCCAGATGCCTCACTGGCAAATATAACTATATTAGAGTGTGAATATTTATCATATCATGATTAGGAGTGCACCAGCTTCTTCCATTTCTCACTTTCCTTTACAAGCCGTAATTTTGGAAAAGGTATGACAGAGGTCAATCAAACTGAACCCAGTACCAAGGTATGTAGCACAGCTGCTGGTGTCAACTGCCAATAAAGGTGTCATCTGAGCTGACAAATCAATCTACTCTCTCCCTTTCTCATTTTACAGTTGGCATCCTTTCAAAATATCCTAAAGCAAAGTATCAGCATTATAATATGCAGAGAAAATCCAGGGCCTCCTTTCGCGTCAAGCTGTTAATAAAAAATGCTATACCACAAAACAAGTTTCCTGCTTTATACTGTGATATTTGTGATATTTGGTGTTGTAAACAATGTCAAACCGGACTGCACATCACAGTCTGTGTAAGCCTGTTACTGCATGTTTTTTTCATTCAAAAGAATATGTGAGACTGTTTTAAATATACAGAGTGATAAGATATTAGGCCTTAAGTTATTGGGCCTTTCTTTCAAAACACAAAATCTCCAAATTAATCAATAGCTGCCTAAAACAGAGGGTGAATATTTGAAAGCTATGCATATTGTTCAGCAATAAAAAACCACAGAAGCCCTAGATCATCCCTCAAGACTTCAAGATCAATAATCTTTGCTGCTGAAAAACGAACAAGCCACTGCATTCCACTACACTAACTGATCAGCCTCTGATACAAAAGCTGTTTGTACTCAATATTTGTAGTCAACACCATATTGTTCCCTTCACAAAGCAAGCGACAGTACAATGCCATGAGCTTCTTTTCCCTCTCATCACTGATCTAATATTGATATTTCCCACTATATTTTAATCAACCAACTGGATTAAAAGAAGTTAAATATTAGACCTTTGTCAGCTTTGTTGGCATGTAGATAGTGAGCGTACTCTGTAAGCTGATTAATCTCTACTGAGACACTCTTGTTGCTGGGTCTTGATATGCTATGAAGCTGCATTTAAATCATTAATAATTCAGAAGTGAAATAATGCCGGCATTGTCAGGTTATGAACTGTGTACAGTCACATGTGTATACAGTCACAAGAGTCGAGCTAGACATTATATCATGTGAAGAATAATGTAAATAGAGCAAAATGAGCATGTAAGATAACAATGGATAAAGAACGTAAGTAGTCCGACGGTAAAGCAATTGCATAATCCCGACAGATAAAATTTCCTCACATCTCAACTGATCACTGCATTTCAACATATCTTCATGATATAAAATTATGCAATTCATGGCTTCTATCCTCTCCGTGTCATTCAACTTGTTATCTGTCTCTATCGCAAATGAACCATTTTCAGTGACCTGAAGATTGCACCTTGTCTCTATCTATCTATAATGTAAATAGCTATAAAGCCATGCCTAGCAACTAGGCACGCTTAAATCTCCATAATGTAGATTTGATACCTCTAATAAAGATGACTTGTGTTTAGTCAATTTCTAAATCAGACTAAGCTGTCTGGTACCTATACAGACAGCTGAGCAGCAATTTACCCATAAATAAGACAATTACATAAGCTGTAAATATTTCTTAAAATGGAAAACAAATATTTATAAGCAGATCTGTTTTAATCATAATGATTCTGAGTGACGGTCTTATTGTTTTATAATTTATCACACACAATGAATAACTAGTCATCACTTCTAATAAAATAAAAGTAAATTGAATTCATTTAAAACAACTGTAATCTTTCATTCAATCAGATTTGTGGATGTCATTTTGAACTGAAAAGTACAATGAAACTGTCAACAATTCCATTATCACCCCCTTTTTTATCAGAATGTTTCTCTTGGTCCTTAGAAACAACAAACAGTTTCAAACCAAACTTCTCTCTAACACAAACTTTAGCCTCTTTAGGGTGGTGTGAAATATATAAACTTGACCTGAAGTTTAAAAAATTATATATTTCTCTTTGGATTCACGAAAATGTGATTTTTTTATTTTGCAAAAAGCTACAAAAATTCTAATCAATTAAAGAAAATGAAAAAATATGTGATTTTATTTTTGCACATTCATCATTCATCAAGTCATTGATTTGATGAAAATTAGTTTTTTGAATAATGGGATAAAAATGCCTAAATGCAATATATAAACCATCATTCATTTTTATTAATGAATACATTTTAACCCATGGTAATGAATGCCCACCTTAGCAACATAAACACATAATCAGAGAATAATATCTGCCTGTAAACAACATTCCATACCTTCCAACCTTTCTTTTCCAATCTCCACCTAATATTCCAGATTTAGAAAAGTAGGTAGAATCCATTTCCACAACTGACACTTGAATATGGGGGCCTTATCATCAAGAACCTGACATCTGAAAAGCTAATCAGACACAATGAACAATTGTTCTCTGTAACAAGCCCAGCACCCCAGCCAATGCTGATGTGATTATCAACTATGTACACTCACAGATGGGGTTTAGATTACCATGGTCAGCCATATTAGCTTCATGATCCCCTGGCAACATGTCAACTCTGCCATGGCAACCCTGATTAGTCTGCAGAAGTGCTAAACATTTTAGGGTTTATTTTCAGCACTTTACCAACCTCCAGTGTGGACTATTTCATGATCAGTTTGAGATTTTCTGCCACCTTCCTATCACAGTTATCTCCTGCTGGTTGGCCCCAAATGTGCACAGCCAAACAGAATGGTTAATTAGATATTCTTGTTTTCACAGAAGATCCTTTTGGAGTGCTGCTGCCACTTATGGATTAATGAAATTTGACACAAGAATGGACTTACCATTCAGATCAATATAATACTTAGAAAGATTTAATAATGTAACTTAATAGTCCAATTTACCTAAGAATGTTACTGTACTAAAATGAATTTATTAAATGGCTCATGGTTAATTATAATCTTCCTAATGACATATTGGCCACTGGTACCATTTGTGTACAAGTTCTTTTTTTTTCTAAATTCATTTTAAATAGCTGCTGCTTTCATGCAACAGTAATAGAAATTTGACATAATTCTACACATACAGTGCTAAAAAAAGAAATAGAACGGTACAATACTCCCCCATAGGACCTTGTACCCTTCAGGGTTTGTCCTCGATCCATTTTTGATGTTTACCTCCATATTTAGAAGTTTAAAGTCCAAAAATAGCTCTGCGAACCAGCTGACTTGCAACATAAATTCTTTGTTAGAAATTATCCCTCATTCAGGTTGACATCCATTTGAAGTGCTGGAGTTCAACAATCAGCAAATCCCAAATCCTTCTGATGTACTTAAGGTGGGCTTGAGGGATAATCTTCCTTGTGGTACAGCTGCTATGTTCTAAGGGAAACCACAATGAACTGTAACTTAATAGACTGCTGTCTTTGGGTTGGCACATGCTAGCCTCATAGTAATAGAGGTTCTCCAACTACCTCCTTCATAAGATTGCAGAATTAACAGTCCCCGATTCCGTTAATAACAAACAAAGATTAACTGGAGCCTTGCTGCCAGGCAAAGCTGATATCTGTAATCCTTCTGTAGACCTTTTCCAAAACCAATGGCTTATAAATATCATCTTGTTTTCACCAATTCTCACAGAGTGGACATCTACTCCTTGTCACAATATGTCCACTTGTGATAGAGGCAAAGAGTAAGCTAATGACTTTTTTTTTTTCAAATATTTTTTGGTATGCTGTGCTGTCAAAAGGTTCTGATCAACTTCTTGTATTGTTGATATAAATAGATGAAAAGTACCATGTTAACATTTTGTCATGGTAATATCTAAAGCCAAATTCAGAATATTAACAATTCAGTTTCAAATTTTATGTCCATTCCCTTCTCCCCCCCCCCCCCCCTCAAATCTTGGAACACACCCAGAGCAGTAGCCTATCCACAAAAGTGCACTTTCTACCATAATTTCCTTTATCAAATAAGTTTTTCAGAAAATTCATCCTATATCAGCAGTGGTATTGATTATAAGCATTTGTCCGACTGATTCAAGCATATTATTCGGGAAATGACAAGTTCAAACATTAACCTTAAATGTGTTTCTACTGTTGGCAGCCCTAATAGCTTTATTAGGAAGGAAAATGGAAATATGTCCATGGGAAATGAGGTTTACTGGCTCAGTCCTGGCACTACTTCACAAAGTCCACTTTTATTCCAGTCTAGAACAGATAGTTTGGAAATACATTCATAATGCCTTTTGTTGTTCAACTATGGAGACAGACACTTTATTAAATACTTGTAATATCTGTTATCATATAAATAAGGTAGGACACACACCCACAATATACAACCGCTTCCGTTTGGCTCAGCCTATCCATCACAAAAGCTTTGTAGAAGTACTTGAAATTAAGATATCCAGTGTCCAACTTTATAAACTACTAGTAACAAATTACTATAGGGGATGTCTCTGTAATGTAGGTAAAACGGCTCGGGTTAACCATGCCCGACAGGTATGTAAGTGTTAAAGTAAAATAAGAAAAAAAACTCAATATTTACTGCAGCAATAATGTCATATTCACCTGCAGGATCAAATTACACTGCTCATTGCTGATACCAGCTTAACTTGTAAGAGGAGGAAAAGGCAAAATATAATAATGAAAAAAACGCTTAAACTTCTTTGTCTGCTTTATTTCTCTCGAGAAATTGGAAATCTTGCCAGCTGCTTTTTCAGTAGTTGAACCAGCAACCAACAACTGATACTGAGGGCAGATGTGGCTAGACAAAAGGGTTTCCCTCTCGTCACCTGCTGTCACATTTTACCCATGATCAAACACATGCTTAGTATACCTCACAATGAGTTAAATGCCAAACTAAGTTGATAAAAACCTGCAAGTGAGTAGCAGCAGCAATCAGCCATTGCACCACATGGCCACCGAACTTCTTTATTCAATCTCATCAGAGCTTTGTAATTATTGGTAATCCAGTTAATCTAATTTTCATTCAGTGTTCACCATGCTGGCGACAAAAGAGCCCAGGTTAACAGAGTCCTGGAAATGTTCAGTTAAGACCATTTTCTAGGATTAATCAATAGTCATTAGAATCATTTTGTTGCCTCCATCGCTTACCGGACAATTGTAAAACTCCGGAAGGTGAATTACCAATACAGTGCAAGCTTACATTTAGGCTGTCTTACAGATATCAAATCCTATCTTTTGTAATTTCATTTTGAACAGAAGTAATGCTCGTTAACCTGCTGACCAAAACAACATGATCACGAGTCTTGAAAAATAGACTCAACAATACCCTGGCTACCTAAAACATGAATGTCTACAAAACCAAGAATAAATAGACCAGCACTCCAAAACTCTCTTTCTTATATGGAACTAGCCCATCAGTTTCCAAGAAATCTATGAAATTATGAACTTTAAGGCCAGAAACAATCAATTCTGTTCAATCAAAGCAAGCTGTTTCCATGGTAACCACTTGGGAATATCATCTATTTGAGTATAGGAGAGAGCA